AACAATTTAAATGATAAAAAATTTGACTGTACAGTCAGTCAAAAACTACTTCACAACCTTCTTTAAAAAAAATTATGGCATCAGCAAGCTTGTAGAATGATGCCAGCAGTTGTTAATAACAATGGAGACTGTTATTGACCAATAATGTTTTTTGTGGTTATGTAAAATTTTGTTTTTAATTTTCTAATCGGGCACAAAATTTTGCAATGATCTAATAATTAATATAGTAAAATGGAAACAAAAAAGAAATTCAGACCCTAATATAAAAATCACATTGTACGTAGCATGATTGTTATAAAATATTCCATTATAATAATGGTAACCCTAACGTTTCAAATCATGTGACTTCCTCTAGCGGCTCCTAATCATACGATTTCTTCGAGCGGACCCACAGTTCCTACTTACGTGACTTGCTCGAATGTGCCCACTGGTGATGTTACTCCTTTTTCGATATATACCGAGGCAGAGCGACAATAGCCTCGTTATCTGTCTTTTTAGACGTTAGACTTTTGTGGCTGCAAGCGCGCTACACTGAATATATTCGTAGGGACCACAGACTGAAGTAAAAAATGAAACTCTCTGTCTGTTTCTAACCACGTGAAATCTCTTTCCATCATGAATATGATTTAATGAACTCTGGCAATAGTTGTCTAGAAGGAAAAGGCATTGAACTTCCACCTAAAAAAACTGTAAATAGAACTAAATTGTGTAACCATAAGATCGACGACTGTTTTCCTTCCTTTCTTTTTTTCTTTCTTTTCTACACAGTATGTTTTAATTAAAAATGCTTTAATTAAACACTTAAATACTACGAACTTTTGAATATAAAGCAATTGGTAGTGTATGTTACCAACGTTGCAAATTCGGCGAGTTTACAGCTATTATAAGTGTAAGTTTTGGTTGTAACAGTAAAAGAAGAGGCGTAAGAAGTTACTGTAACTTTAACTATCTAGCTCCAAATTGTATGCACAGGAATCTTCCGGGTTTATGCTGAAAATGAATTGTGACGAAAAACATCTAACAGAAAACACAACAAGATATATGAGTTGAGATGTTATTCCTTTTTATGTAATTATATGTTGGTAATAAATTTACAGACATGCTTTGTTTGGTGACTGTTAAATTGTGATATATGGCACAGTAGAATTACATAAATGTTTTAGTATTATGATTATTTGTTAGAATTGTATATTCTTTTTTTTTAATTTTATTTTTGTTTAGCTTACTTGAATGTATCAGTCCCGAATTCTTTTGAAGATTAACCTGGTAATGAGATTAGGAGACTGGTTTTTCTTGGTTTTGTAGTAGTCAAATTTTCACGTCTTTTGTATTGGGAATCAAAAGTCCTACTGATCTGTCTAGTGGACAAGGAAACACTAATTCTAGTATCTCACAGATTTTGGTGGTAAAAGAAGGGAAATGATTTCTCATCATTTAGAGACCGTGACAAATAAAATCCTTACTATTGAGTTGACATTTTTTATGCTGTTGATTCATAAATGCTGTTTGTAACATAGACAAGCACTCATGCACATATATATTAAATCTTCCCCAAAATTTTGATCCTTTATTTCCTGGATAAACTCTAATAGCAAACCCTACTTACTTAATGTATAAGCTCGAATAAAGTTTATGAATTCGTTTCTTCATCATATCCTGAAAACTTCTACGATGCGAGTGGAAATGGCAACCTATACACCTGTAAAAATATCGGAATGTTTTGATTTCATACTATTAGTGGTTATATAATAAATAATCATTGTTAACTGGTGAATACCAAGAGAAATTCGTGATGTATATTACTTTTGTGCACTCAATACAAGGCTCAAAGGCCACTCAAAATAGAGGCTTATTGAGTGAACAAACAACTTAAAGAAGGGAAAAAGAAGTGGAAAACGTGCATGTTATGAGCACATGCAAGCTTTATTGACTGATTTGCTTTTTACGGTTTATTAACACTTTGCAGGTTATTTAAAGTTAGAAAATACTTTTAGATTGTAAGGTTTTTTGCGGAGGGGTAGCTAATAATGATTTGCTGACACAACTTCTACTAATTAAGCCATAGGTGGGGAAGGGAGAAGAGGCGAATTCATACCTTTCCCAAAAAGTGAATATGTTGCGGGCGGTTCATTGACCCGCAAACAGATATTGATTGATGGAAGACAACAACAAACAAAACGAAAACTTGTGTAAAATATATATTGCCAAATTTATATTCATTAAAAAAAAATACATCAACAAAAATAAGGTTACAGTTCACTAAGCAAAAAATATCTCTGCATGTTCATGTAGGATGAGAAGAGCTGAGATGTACCTTGAGGGTCGCCGAGCGTGTCATTTTAAGCAGTCATGGTGGATACATTTTTTTTTTTGTCATGCAAAGTTTTTGATTGGTTCTTTAACCAACGTTTAACTATTTAAATTTGTTTATTTTTTATTTATGTGGGTGTTTTGTTTTCTAACCTGAATGTGAAGCTCGGAGCTTATGCGCAGAGAGCGACTTTTTTAAAACTTGATACCGTAGCGCTCATATCCGGCCTACAGGTTTTGAAGAAGAAAGAGGTCTAAATTGAAGTAAAGTATAACAGCGTATTCTCTTTCTATTTCTATTTTCAATAGCTGTACCGACGACAGATACTACCGATGCTACATATATTTAGTAAACCCAACATGGAGATGAAAGTTATTTATATTTTTTTTTCTCTGACCAGAAGTGAGATTAAATAAACGCCACAAAACGCCTTCTTGTATCTTATACGGACGCTGAGTGTTGAAAAGTAAAACAGGACCACGAAAATTTTAAATCTAAAATAATAACATCTCAGCACAAACCAGTGAAAATATAATGGAATAGAAAATATTGCGAACATTTCATTTCCAAAGAATGATCCGTAATGTAATCGATCCTGACCAGGCGTCTCAATTTCAGTCACTTTCTCACCGACGTGACGCAGTTTGTCTTTTCTACAAATATTTTCATGTCAACTGCTCTGACGAGATTTTTTCCCCTGGTGCTCCGAATACATGAATATAAGCGTGCTACTAAATTGGCGTCTAGTTCACTTTTACTGCTAAAATAGTTAAATGCACCGCCACTTCTACTCCAACAGTTTCTTTACTCGCACTTCCCACTTGTGGAACTCCCTTCCGTTTACTCGCTTCCCTGATAATTACAATCTTCAAAAATGTAAATGTAACCTCAATCGCCATCTTGTCTTCTTGAATTCCGTTTATCTTTTTGTCCTTTCCTCAATCACCCCCCCCCCATTCTCAGTATTCTCTTTCATTTTCACTCCCTGTAACTCCACTCTTATTAACATTTGTTTTTTTTTTCTACCTACATTTATATACGTTACAAATTAAACTAAGCACAACTATTACAGGATGAAATATTTTGTCGTCATTGTGGGATCTTTTTTTTTTTTCGTCCAAATCTGTGAATTTGTTTTGCTCATGGTAAGTCTCGAACAAAACACTATATAAAATTCACTGCTTTTTCATCCGTAATGTTGAATGTGTTAAAATTATTATACTTTTTAACAAGATAAATCTCAAGTTGACGCTAAAATTTGCCGCAAAACATTGTTGATTTATTTAAGATGGAATGATCTATTATGACATGTCTCTAATTTGTATTTAAGTACATTTTGTATTAATTTTCAATTTTTCTTGTAGAATTGTTCACCTGTATTGCATCATTGCACATAATGAGGTTACGATATAATTTGTATTTCATATGAATACTACCTTATGAAAATTGAGATGTAGTAGAAGTAGGGTGTATCATAAATTTGGTGAGGACCCACGAGACCCTTGTATCGGCCCTGGGGTAAGGAAAAAGTTGAAGTTTCAAGTGATCAAGTGTAAAAGTCCTGGAGAGAGAGCGAGAGAGAATCCAGGAGGAAGTAAATATATGTATACGTATGTATGTATGCATGAATCCAAATGTAATACCCCCACTTGACAATGTGGTGAAGGAAAGTATGTTTGTGTTCAATGTAGCAAGGACGGGTTACATGTCTAAGGTTGCCAGCTACTCGTGCAAATGTATTTCGTCTCTGGGTACGTACTATGACCGCAGCATCGGAGAAACAAAATTAATCTATCGACTCAGGTATTGGTTGATTTACGATCTGGTATTATACACATCTACAGATCTGCTTCGAAAAGGGCGCTTTAGTTCGCAGTATATATCCTGATTGGGAAAGCTTTCTTATTGGCTGGTCGAACTATCTTTTTTTTTTTTTTTAAATTGGTTAAATTTTAGGCTCCTCGTAATTATTTGTTTATTTCTTTTCTTACATGTTGGATGGTTGATCGAACTGTGAATATTTTAATCAATTCACCCCAAGCAAGGTGATAGTTCCACTAAGATGCAATGGGTTACTAGGATTGAAAGAGAATGAAGGGATTTTAAAAGGAATCGGAAACCGATCCTAAACAGAGAACAAGGGATGAAGCTCTACTCCTGTTCAAAAGACCGAGGAGGAGTGTGAACCGGACGATAGGCGAACCTATCTACTTCATTTGTTTGTCCGGCGATTTTTATTATTCGTCTATATCTAGAGAATGTGAAATTTTGGTTTCTTGCTATTTATTTTTATTTATTTATTTTTCTGTCACCACACAATCATTGATCACATAGCTCTAACCTCCCCATCACATACCAACATAATCAATTGTGTCTCATTTATAGCTAGTTGTTTAAACAATACCTGAACAGGACACCTCGGTGTGGGTTAATGATTAGCAGTCTGGTCTGGTTTGGTTAACCATTACTACTGAGTAATGAGTTTGATTCTTACTGGGTGCCCCATATTCATGGCTGTAATGTTCTGTGTAAGAGGCTATCGATGCTTGCTAGGCGTCGATTAAGGCCTTGCTAGGATTTTAGGATGGTTCTTGATTGTCCCTCCGGTGATGGTAGCCTCCTATTCCCTTTTCTGTGTAGCTGCTGATTAAGATTCACCGGATGTCTCGAGGGGATCTAACTCTTGTGTCTAGGGGTTATCTCCCTTCTGTTGCTGGGATATTACAATATTACTTTCTTTTTTTTTTTTGAGAGGGTTTTTTTTTTGGTCCAGCCACAGCCATTCTAAAGCCAAGTCTTCGGATGAGCTACTTTCCAAGCCATCTTCGGACTTTCCAAAGCTGCGAGAATCAAGCAAATCAAAATTGGAATCATCAGAATGAAGATCTTCTTCATCAACCTGCAATGTGAGATTCTGAGTGGAAGAAATAGTTATGGCCTGGTTTGGGGAAGAATCAAGGTCTTGGTCAGATGAAGTGTTGGACATTTTCGAACGGCTGGCATCAGTTCTAGAGGTTTTGTCATGAATTTTCTTGCGTGACTGTCTGGGGTGTAGCATTTTCTGGATGGAGTTGAGGGGAGACATGACTTGTGGCTCTGGCACAGACGGTTGTGGACAAGGTGCCGAGTTACATTTTGTTGACATCTGTTGGACATTTGAAGAGGAGTACAATGGATTTTGAAAATCTGTTGAAGCAGCTGTTGTTGGACGTTTCTTAACTTTTTGATAAAACTTGAGAGCGTCTTCATAAACATCATTTTGAGGACGCAAATATGTTGCATTTTGTGACAATCTCTTGCTTTGTTGGAAACTGCTAGAAGCAGTTGATGAAGGAGTGGCAGGAAAGTTCTGTTGACAACATTTAAGCTTCAATTCATTTATTTCATGTGACATTCTCTTCATTTCTGTGCACAGCATTTCTTGCATTTGGATGAAGTGTCTCTCCAAAGACAAATGAGATTTTCGTCGTTCGTTATCCAAAAGAGATGATAACTGGTGAATATTGGTGTGGGCGGTCATCAATTCTTGTTTATAAAGAGCGTTTTCAGCTTCAAGTTTCTGGACTGTGGAATTGATTTTGTGGAGAGTTTGTGATTGTTCATCAAGTTGCTCTTTTATTTGGTTGAGAAGCCCCAAAAATAAAGATGAACTCCTGTTTGCTGGAGTATCCATTTCAATTGGAGGTGGCAAGTTCCGAGCTCCAGCTGTGTGGAACACGTATTCTATGTCACTACCACTGCTACGTGGGTTCCGTTGGTCGTTTTCAATGCGGTTCACTGAGCGTCGATTGGTCCGTGTTCGTGGGGGACAATTTGTTTCCCGTTGTCTGTTTCCGTCGTTTAATCTTCTGAAACAGGCAGAGGTGAAGTGTCCCCACCTTCCGCAATATGTGCACTGGGTATGAAATGCCGGGCAAGACGTCGGTCCCCGCTCATGAGGGTATTTTCCGTTGCAATTGTAGCGGGCGGTCCAGTGGCCCCGTATCACGGAAAGGGGTGAACGAGGTCACAAGAAGCCCGCTAACATTTTTGAAGACGTTAAATCTGACCGTGAAACAATATGGACGACAGAACGAGGATATATATGATATGTAGAGGTTTATTCTAAAAGGAAAAGGAAATGAAGATGGTCGGAAACGGTGGAGGTGCTGGATGCTGCAGGAGTGAGCTGGATGCTGCAGGAGTGAGCCGGAAGCTGCAGGAGTGAGCCGGATGATGCAGGGATTCTGGATACTGCAGGAGTGAGCCGGATGCTGCAGGAGTGAGCCGGATGCTGCAGGAGTGCTGGATACTGCAGAAGTTTTAGTGCAGGCATTGATGGTCGAGGTTGGCAGTTGCTAGGATCATCGTTGTTGGGGGGTTGACGCTGATGTGAGTTGTTGCCAGGATGATCGCTTGGTGGTTGTTGATGTTGAGTGATGCCAGGATGATCTTTGTTGGTTGTTGAAGCTGAGTCGTTGCCGGGGTGCCAACTTGTTGCTGTAGTTCGTGTTGCCAACTCGTTGTTTGTCATTGCCGGGATGCCAACTTGTTGCAGCAGTTCGTGTTGCCAACGTTGTTTGTCATTGCCGAGATGCCAACTTGACGTGTTGGGAAGGAAGAGAGAGAAAATTTCCCAACTATCGTCAAGTTGGCAGACAAAAGAAATGGGAGCGTAACTTAATACACAGCCCGTAGATCGGCGCCCTTGGCCAATGATGGCCAAGGGGCCTGCGTAGACGACCGTTGCGGCCGCCGACAGCCTCCTCAAATCACTGTCTTGTGACGCGGGGGACCAGCAAGAGAAATTGGCTAAGCTAACCGAAAAGTCTCTATAGTAAAATACTACAAGGTTAGCCAAAGATAACTAATGTCTAAAAATGACTAGAAGTATATTACAACTAGGTTTGTAATATAGCCTAACTAAAAAGGGGATTTGCTAGTCCCTCTGACGTGTTAACAGTGTGTAAGGAGTATGAATGAGAGGTCAAGGTCGAAATGACTCTGTTCCTCTGCTGGTTCAAGGACAGAAGGAGGAGGTAACTCCGACACAATTCCTGCACCGGTATTGCTGGGGATAGTTGCTTAGTCGGCGCTGTTCGTCCGCGACTTTGTTTATTGGGGCGGTTGTAGCAGTAGCGATGTTGTTGTCTTCCAGTCGCATTGTTTGTAGGTCCGACGCTATCGTCTCCGTTGTCCTTGCGTAGTTTATTAAGTCATGTAGTGACATATCCGAGTTCATGAGTCCCTTCTGGCGGACTTTATCCGACAGGCAGCCTGTGATTAGTTGGGACTTCACCTCGGAATCCATGTCGGAAAAGCGGCACGTGGACGCAGCTTCCTTTAGTTTGCGGTAGAATTCTTCGATGCCAGGGCTATTTTGTTTAATTTTCCGGAACACAAATCGGTTGTATTCCGTGTCGTTTTCCGGGTTGAAGTGGTTGTGCACCGCCGAGAGAAGCTTGTCGAAATGTGTTTCATTTTTTTTCTGGTGTGACTCGCTCCTGTGGTATCTCGTCGATGATGTCATTCGTAGCCTCGCCGACAAAGGTTAGAAGGATAGCTTTTTGCCGTTTGTCATCTTCAATGTTATGTGCGACAAAATAGTTTTTTAGTCTTTTTATGTATTTTGTCCATCTTGCTGCTTTGGCTGTTGACTCACAGTCAAATTCGGGGTAGTGTGGGACGGCGGCCATATTGGTTATATATCGAACACGTGTTGAATTTTTTTTTTTTTAAGTGTGTTGATGTTCTGTTTTTGTGAGGGTAACGACTCAGTCCTCGTCGCCAATGTAATGTTCTGTGCAAGAGGCTATCGATGCTTGCTAGGCGTCGATTAAGGCCTTGCTAGGATTTTAGGATGGTTCTTGATTTGGCGACGAGGATGAGATTACAATGGCCTCATGCCAAAATTAAGCCAAACTTAGTAAATAACATTTTTCTTTTGTTTCTGTCTAGAAAAAGCGGCAAATAATCCCCGTACCTGTAGTGCGAAATAAGAATAACTTCTCTCGCCCACTTCCATCAAATTCGAGTGAACTGAGGAAGAAGAGCGGAAGAAATTCGAGAGCCTATGTGAAATTTCTTTTGGGCCAATAAAAACCTTACCTTCGCAGAAATTGACCGGTGAGCTGAGAAGGAGAAGGGAAGGAATTCACGAGCCCATGTGAAATTGTTTTGGTACCAATGTAAACCTTGTCTTCACAGAAATTACCCGGCCATCCTAGAAGAAGAAAAGAAATTAGCGAGCCTACGCAAAATTTTTTTTTTTTTTTTTTTTTACATAAAACGCTGAGAATAATTAAATTAATCCGAAAAGATGTCATTTGAAAGGTTTCGTTTCCGTTCCTCTCGACCAGTGTTGAAATATTCGCCTGTGTAAAATTAATCGCCAATTATATTATCGGCCATTAACTAGCACGTGGTATTTCAAAGAATTTTTTTTCAACGATCCAAAAAAGCTATGTATTTTTCTTCTTTTACTTTTGTTTTTTGTTTGAACATATGCAAAACCATATCCCTTCGGTGAGCAACAAACTATACATTTGTCTTAAACATTTTTTTTTTTGTCACATCATTTAATCTCTTGGATAATTATTTCCTCTTCATAACAATAAAACTACGGATTCATTTATTTTCGTGAAACGAGCTACTCAACTGAAACAAAAGCGTATATAAATTCTTGAAAAAATCCTTTTTGTTAAATTTTCCCGCGTGTTTCTTCGTCATTATCATGTTTCAATTCATTAATCTTCTTGGGGAGGGTAAATCAACTGTTCATTTTAACCCCCTAACCTCCACGCCACTATAGATTTTTTAGCCCTCTATAAAATCTAAAAATATGCTTTTTTTGTTTTTTTGGCAATTGAACTGATAACTGAACAAAGTAATTAATAATGAATGACAATGTCTTTAAAATTTACTGTGGATTTCTAGACAATAAAATCTTTACTGATTCAAGAATAAGATTATTTTTTTTAAATAATTTAAATTTTAAAATTCATCAATTATTTAACTGTTTTTTGGGTTTTTTTTTAAACATCTTTCTTTTCAGTTTCATAAACCGTCTGAAATAAAATATCGGTTATTGCGCGACCTTTCCTCTAAAAAGCAAGTACACCCATAGAATTTTTATGGTTGAAATTAACTTGCTTTTAGTTTTACAACTTACAAGTAAGTGAACACCAGATCATTAGTCTCACTAGTAACCTATGGTTGATATTTCAGATCCCCAAGCAATTTGAGTTTGACACAACAGTTGTATTTATTTTACAACATGAGTTGATCGGAACTTAATATTCCCTGTTACTATTTCGCTACAACACCGGTGTTGCAAGATGGCATTATGATCAATCATGTGAATTAAAAACACTAAAAACAGTTGATTTATTTTGTAACTTTTTTTTTTTACTGACATGGATGTTGTGGATAAGGTGTCTTTTGTCAACAAAGTAAGTGTTGTTTTTTTTGTGGATATGAGAGATTTATATTGGTCAAGATTTCTTTTTTTATGTTTGTTGTGCACACACCCCAAAAATTTATTAGTGTAAAAATAAGTAATTCTGAATATTTTTTGTCGCTGGAAAATAACAGTTGAATTAATTAGATAAACAAATAAAATAACTGGATGTTTAGCGAGCGACAGTTTATTTTGTTTTCTTTATGTAAGAGTAAGATGGAAAAAGAAATAAGTAAGACTTTTTTTAAAAAGCGAGTTAATAAGTGCAAAAGCGAAACAGTTTTTTTACTTTTTTTACCTGTCTTTTAGTGTAGTACTGTGTATGGTATTGCATTTCTACTCAAAAAGATTTGGTAGAAAAGAAACGCAATTCCATACACAGTATCATTCAGTAAATACTGAAAAAAGTATGTAAAAAAAAAAAAAAAAAAAAAAAAATTATGATAAATTACGCTTCTTGGGAAATACAAAGAAAAAAATAGTAGTTAAAAACTGACAACATTGTGTGCGTGCCAGGACTTTTGTAAACAAAAAAATCGTTGACAATTTTTTTTTTTTTTAAGATTTTTATTTAATTAGTAGTTACTAAATTGTTTTTAAATCTAAGAATTTTGCTTTAATAATATTGAAAAATAAAATAAAAATGATTATTTATAAAAAAAAAAAATAAAACAAATTTTCGATTATTACTGCGATAACGCAAAAATTCCACTAAAAACAGTATTACTGAAAAAAAAAAAGAAGAATTTAAAAAAAATCACATATTCAAAAAACCTTTACCGTAAAAAACTAAATTATTTTTACTATTTTTTTTACTTTTTTTTTTATAGCTGATTACTAATTGTAATAAAACTAAAAAACTACTTGTCTGGAATAGCTTCTCGAAAATAAACACCACACTCACAGTTTTCCTATTCTCGATATCTCTTCTACATACAAGTCCATCGCCGATGGGTAGGGGCACCGGCAACACAAGAAAATAATTGTCCCCCCATGCCTCCCCCTCCCCTCGTTATGAACTAATTAATTCTATGTGTGCAAATTATCACCCATGTCCCCCTAAAGTTCCCACCATCTCAGAACTCACAGGGGATGGACCTGCCTCTGTGCCATGTCCCTTTAGGACATATGCAATCTTGCCTTTGATCAACTTTTTTGTAGCTTAGCAATGATTGTGTTTTTCCATCCTACTCCCTGTTCTGCACCCATTTTACATTTTTATGTAAGCTTAAACCACATATATCAAATTGAGATAGATTTTGAAGATAAATAAAATACTATACAAGGAGGTGCTAAAAAATTCTGAAATGAGCACAAAGCTCTCCTCCCCACTTCAAATTTCATGTTTAATTATTTAGTTAAATTTTGATTAGGTTCAGAACCTTTCAGCATCCATACACTACACACAAACATATGTGTTACGTACCACTAATAAAGTCTAAAGAAAAGCAATAACTAAAAAGTTTAAAATACATTTTTAAAAATGAAAATCATTCTTGTTTTTATTTTAGTTTCAAGCTAATAGATTAATTTTAATATTTCCAATAAGCAAAATACTTTGCCATATTCCAAACTGAATTTAAATTGATTGGAATTATTTTTTATTTAAAATTCCTAAAAATGGCTGAAATTGGCCAGACAGACAATTCTCTTAAAAAACTTTCAAAAATAAAATATACTTTTCTGAAACTTTATTTGAAGAAGATTATCTGATGTTTTTGTTTTATTGCATTTTTTTTTTTTTTTACAATTCAGAGCAGAGTTTTGGCAACTGGGGATCTTGTTTTATAAAAAAAAATGATTTAAATTCTCTGAGGACTTGTGCTTATAAATAATAAGCCCTACAAAAATGAATTTATTGACATTTCATAAAATTAAATGTGGTTGGGTAACAGATGTAAAATAAAATTTTTTTACCAAGATTTTCTAAAAAAGAAATGTTTCTAAAGTAATTTCATTACTTTGTGAATAAGTCCTGAAAGTTTTATTAAAATCCAACAATTTTCTGATTTTTGCAAGAATTTCCAAATCAATGCATAAAAGATGCTAAAATTTCCCATAGTAATTTATGTTCACCCACAGATGCAAGTAAACAAAATTTTTAAGGTTCTAAAAGGATTAAAAAACATAATAATTAAAAAAATTCTTTGGTCTTTTCTCTTAATGATAGCATAAAGATTTTGACCATAAAACTTTGTTTTTATTAAGTTTGGGTCATTTGTTTTCATCATGTATGCTCATGTTTTTTAGCAATCTGAGGTGTAGGGACATCTCGCTTTGGTAGTGATAAGTCACGTTGGTCACATCACTGCTACTTATTGATGTCACTTCATACAGTGAAAAGAGTGGCCACTCATTCAGTTTGTTTACAGCAACCAAACTGAGCAGTTGCTTTTTTTAGCCTGAGCCAAGGGGTCCTAGGCTGAGGTTAAATCTGCCTCCCCTAACAGCTTACAAGCACATGGCACCATTTCCCTTTGGGAATATATCTTCCCCAGATATAGAAGGAACCTCTGGCTCACAGTCCTCAATTTAGGGAAACTCAAAACTCACTGTTTACCCTTCATGCTATATGTCCTCACCTGGGACATAGTAGATGAATCCAGCTCATTTGAATCTGGAGTCCTAAACTTGTATCTCTATATTATGTGTAAGACCCTTCCTTTTTGTTTCTCCTTGCTAGCTGTGTAGATATATGTGATATATGGTTCTCCACATGAGACATGTGTGTATATATAAATAGTTATATGTATGTCTTAGTGGCATAAAAGTCTCTCTGAGAACAAAGCATGTTTTTTCATTCCTTTTCCATTCAGCTGTTCTGTTCCATCTGTGAAGTACAATGTTATTATATCACAGATATAATAATGCTCATAATGGAGGAAATACAAATTGGAGAATAAACCTTGCTTCCATAGTTCTTTTGTTAGGTATCTAATTATATATCTATATCAAGATGTTTACATTCCTCACTACTTCAAATAAAAGCTTAAGAAGGAAACCCCCATCAATACTGGAAAGAGTGATAACAGCTATTGAACTTGAGAAAGCTATTTCCCTAAAATTGTTTTAAAAGAAAAATTTTATAAATTTCAACCAACAGTAGTACTGACTGTTCAATTCAATGCCAAATGTTTCCATTATAAGGAAAAGACTAATATTACTATGTGTGTGTACACTTACTGTAATATTATTGCTTGATTCTATGTTTATTATAAACAGATATAATAGTTTAATTACAATGTATAAAAAATTATTTTGTTCTTTTTTACAGATTAGTATGTTGCTGAAAGCCACATCTGATGATGACAACCCAATTCCAGGATATCTTTATGATGATGTTAACAGTATCCTCTTGTATGATGAAACATAATGAAAATAAAAGGCCAAAACAAAGGAAAAGCTGATTTAGAGAGTATTGTGAAGTGTGAGAATCAAAGTCTCATACTTGACTGACTTTTCTCTGTGATAGAAGGGCTCTCTCTCTCTCTCTCTCTCTCTCTATATATATATATATATATATATATATATATATATAATTAGAGATGAGGATAAGCAGCTCCCCAAAGCATCTGCCTAAGATTGCACATTGTAAAAAAAAAAGTGCCCAATACCATAAAATTAACAGTGCTTTAATATATTTCAAGACAAATTTCAAGTAGACACTGACTACTAATGACTGCCAGTTTCATGCGCTTTCACCAAATCATCAGGCTAACTGGCAGGCGTGGTTGATCACTGCCCACTTGAAATTTTTACTTATGTGTGTACATACATATATATATATATATATATATATATATATATATATATATATATAATGTCAGTGCAGCCATATGTAAATGAAGCAAGAATTATTTCATTATCACTATATAGGACTTCATTTTTTTTTTTTTTTTTTGCTTTTAGGTATGATTATTATAACTTTTTTTTTTGTTTTGCAAATCTTAACTTTTCTTTATCAATCTGTTTATTATCCATTTCATTATATTTGTAATTACGGAGATGGGTAGGTGGCCTAATGTTTTTAAACTTGGAAAATTGAATCAGTTACCTGATTTCTAATACTGCTGAGTCTTGAAAAAGACAGAACTGGATCAAGTAATGGATTCCTCTTTGCTGCTTAGCCATCAACATTCCAATCATGGGACCCATGTTCAAATCTTACCATGGTCAATTTGTGAATGTGGTTTACTTCGTAACAACGTCAAAAAAAGAAAAACAATCTCAGCATGTGACACTGCTGGGAAGTGTTTTTAAAACCATACCCAAACCTTGTGAGTGAAACAGAGTAGATGAAACTAACTGTTGTGGAGTAAAAAAGATTGAACATATTACTACCCTGACATATTACCCAAGGTCAAACGAACAAGCTTGAATGGTTTGTGGGTACTTTAAGAGAGCTTTTAGAAAATAAATAATGAAAAAGTGAGCAAAGAATCATTACAAAAATTCTTGAGAGTATAATACCAGATAACAGCAAATCTTAATTCACCAGCAGGCATCTCAGAAGCAGCAGTATTGATGTTTGCAAGAAAAATTAAATTGGTGTTCAACAAGTTGTTAGAAGGTCAAAAAGAATAGGAATGGATAACAAAAAGGACACAAAATTGACGAAAAAGTTTTTCAGGGCATATAAAAATAGAAAAGAAATGTGGGAAGATGGCATAATAAGGCCACAAATTGGAAAAAGGATAAATATGGTAAAAGGAAAAAAAATGGGAACACAAAAGGCATTGGAATCAGTTAAAGAAAAGGTTTACCTAAAAAAGGGCTGCAAGAAACGAAGAACCTATGCAAGTACTGTATATTTTTGATGTACCTCAAGAACACATAAGTATGATTACCAGAAAATGGAAAAACTAGAGGTTGACCCAAAAGGAAAGAAATACAAAATTCAGTACATAGCAAACTCTCCCGAAAGAGGAAGAGAGGAGGGTTAAATACTAAGAAATAAAATATTTACTAGTGAAAAAAAAATCTCAAAAGTGGGGATGTTGTAGAGTAAATAAAACACCCTTGGTAACACAAATGAACTAGGCAAGACACCTTAAATAAAGAACTCAAAGTGAGTCAGGAAGTATGTTGGATTCAGTCAAGGAGAATTTTTAATGATGTCATGGTGAGTAGCCTAAGTGAGATAATATTATAACCATAAGGAGTGATTTATAACATGTCAATGGTTGTACGAGCACAGTCAAAATTTTTCACCTTAGGGTTTGATAGAAGTTCTTTTGTCTTTGTTGGCAATCTCTCTAGAGATGGTGTCTTGATAAAAGCACCTATCCCCTGCCACTGTATAAAAAAAAAGTCAGGCTCTCTCTCTAACCAAACTAGGTTTCAAAATATTTGTGTGTATATTTATTATCAGTCTGTATTTATTTCTGTTTATCTCTATCAGTCTGTCTACCTCGGTCTTTATTTTTCCATGTAAGTCTGTTCCTATCTCTCACTCTCTCTTTCATTTGTCTTAGGTTTTGTCTTTTTCTGCTATGAATTTTTGTCTCATTAAAGCGAGCACATATTTGCCTCATTGAAAACAATGATGAAAATATTATTTCTAAGTATGCATCTATTATCACAGACCTGCCAGACTTACTTTAGTAAATATTTACATATATTACAAACCTCCACTTATCAGTCTGTTTGTACTATATTCTGTGTCATATGTATATATCCTTGTTTATTGGAAAGAAGTATGACAAAGTGGAAAAAAGATTTTGTGTGGTGTTTAGTCTGATGAAGTTCTAAACGACGAAATGTCCTTTAGAACTTCAGATTAAATTTATTTTTACATTGATGTGACTACACATGAATGAAAGAGAGATGCTGAGAATTTAAAATATTTATTAAAAAATGTGTCTTGGGTATATAATCTATAACCTATTTAATTTAGAGTCTTTTATACTTGTTTATTTGTGATTTCTTTAACTGAATCAGAAATCAGCTATGAATCCCCTGGATACTGCATCAGTTTGCTTGAATTTCTGGTTAGTCAGTTGGAGAAAAGATCCTATCATACAAAACTCAAGGTAATGAAGAATACAAAATGGTATCTTGTAATTCAATTGCAAACCAATTTTTATAGTATTTACTGTTAATTTATCTACAGGAAACGCATGATTACTGTGGTTGATGTGTCCTCAAAAAATACCATGCTCATCAAGGCTGCATAAATCAAATGTAAAAACCTATCAAAAATAATGTAATTACTGTATATATTTGTGTATCATGTGACTTTTGGAGACCTAATTTTGAAGCTAATTTTAAGGGGGTCACATTATACACAAGATATAAAATTAACCTATGGCCCTGTCTACACCATTGACTAAACTATATGTTCATCTATTACTGTAGTCAAAAAGTACAGCTGTATTTAAAATTAACATGATTTTGATAAAACTGATGTATCCAATAATAATGCATGTAATATTCACCTATTAGTATCATATAAAATACAAACATAATAATTAGTCATCTTTTCCATTGTTTGTAAGACGTTTAGCTGTTTCTCGTTCAGTTGTTTATGCCTTTATGCAACAAGTATATGATACGTTTATGATCATTCTCTTTTTAAATTATTTAACTATAAGATGGGATAAAGAGATAGAGGGAAAGAGGTTAACGTATTTTAATTTGGTCTCTCGAAAAAGGAATTTGCATGATACACGAGATACATGTTAAAATCATTTTTCATAAGTGAAAATTTGAGGGTTGCACGAAATACAAGATCGCATGTTACACAAATATATGCAGTAGTTCTAATCAATATTTCAGTTTTGTTGCATTTGTTATGAGTATTCTGGTGATGTGTTGGCCATGTCTGAATGTATTTTTTTTATATATGTATTTTTTAGGAGGTTAAAAGTGCATCATCAGACCACAACAGGATTATAATATTACAAACAAAATCGTATATGAGATACAACATAATAAACATAGACAAAAATAATAAAATGCTTCAGTATACATTTCAGAGAACATATATGTTTACAGAAATAAAGAAGTTTTGCTTATCTGTTGGTGGCAACATGTTTTAGCATCTGTCTATATTTCTGAGATGAGGTATTGTGTACATTATTTACATTATTCAGACTATTGTCCTCATCTTTGTTGCCATATTTGTTACAACGTTTTGGCCGTTGTACACTCTGGCCTTCTTCAGGTGGTTGGAATGCCGAACTGAACCCTTTGTTTTGCTCACTGGGATAGACTGTTCTAGTTCCACGTGCCATGTCTAATGGATGTCAGTTATCAGTTATCCATTAGACATGGTACGTGGAACTAGAACAGTCTACCCCAGTGAGCAAAACAAAAGGTTCAGTTCGGAATTCCAACCACCTGAAGAAGGCCGGAGTGTACAACAGCCAAAACGCTGTAACAAATATGGTAACAAAGATGAGGACAATAGTCTGAATAATGTAAATAGTGTGCAACATGTTTTATCAAAGAACTGTCCAGGACATCTGCCTCTTCCAGCTGTTGAAAAATGAAGAGAAAGTTTTGATTTTTGTTTCTTTTCGTGGTAAAACACTTGATGTATATTTTATTTAACTTTTTTTTATAATCTACCTTCTTTCTTCATTGTTAATTACCATTCATATCTGTATTTTCAAGTATTTTTATTGCTTAACTTTTAATTTTTCTTTTATTATTAATTATTTTGGATCCAGACTACTACATAGTCTAGTTAAAGGGTTGGGGGTTATTTTGTAATTTATTTGTTGCTATCGCTACACATTTAATTTTATATTTTCTGATTCAGGGCAGATTTTTATGCATCACTAGTTAAAGTTTATAATAAAGTTTCAACTGATTTCATTTCTCTTGAGAATTATCTTTATAGAAATTTTATAAAATTAAATAATGGTTGGCTGGCTTTAAAAATATTTTCACAAATTTTTCTTACAAAATACTCTTTTCATAAATTAATAGCTATTGAAAATTTTATTAAAATTGAATAATTAGTTGGTTTTTGGTAATTTTCTCAGTGTTGTTCATTTGTCATTGTCAGAAATTCACACACCTGTACTTGAAGCCCCTACTCTAAGGAATGGTTTGATAAAAAAATACAGTATCAAAGAAAATTTATTTCATTGCAAACTAAATGTGTGATTCAAATTTTTAGATAAAACATGTTAGTGTTAATCAGAACTGAGTTAATATGATATTTTCTGTATTTATTTTTTGCATCAATTTAAATATTACGATATTATTATAACAAAAAAAACAAGACTGTAATTATTAGTGAGTGAACACTTTGGTGAAGTACTCTTTTTATGACTACTTTCTTGCCCAACCAGTAGAAGCATAGATATTTCTCTCATTGTTAGTTTTGCTCATACCTGCTTGAGTTGAGAGTTAGTATTATTAATACTACTTATGTAACCTGTGATATCATGAGTAAGATTTATAAAGCAAATGTATATAAACTTTAATTTACTTTAATGAACACTGGGGATGATGCTAAATGGAAAAGACATTATTGGGATGACACAGTTTATTTGGTGTACATATGAGTCATCATAATGATTATGTAAAGTTTTAATTCTGTTAAAGTTTCATTAAACCCTATATAAATGAAAGGAAACTGAGACTTTACACCAATGGTTCTCAACCTTTTTACCCATGGATCACTTTCACTTTAATTTTTTTTTTTTTTTTTTTTTTTTTTTTTGGTGGAACCCCATAACTGTTCAATGAAAAAAAAAAAGTGTATTTTATAAATAAGTTTAGGAATTGTATTATAGAAATAGTAAATGTATATGCTTTATTTTGAAATAAAACTAATTTAACGAAAATAACCTTGTATTTAACAACTAAATTCTATGGAACATTTATGTATACTAGTAAAATAACACATAATAAACAATTTTAAAATATGTGAGTAATTAATAAGTTTTAAAAAATGCAAATTTATTCAATGAGATCTCTGTGGTTGATGTTGCTCTGTGATTTTTTTTTTACATTCAGCTCTATCAATGTCAATGATCGTTGAAGATCACCCCTTTTCATAATGTCAAATCTATTAAGGGCTTTTGACAGTAAGTGAGACACATGACTAAAACTCAATTCAACAAGGTAAGATGATGGAAAAGCAATAATGTAGAGCTGTGCTTTTTCCCAGAGTAGTGGATATTTTGTTTTCCATATATTATGCTTCTTCTATTTTTTTGTGTGGACCCTGGTAATGTCACATGGATCCCCAGAGTCCATATGGAGCCCCATTGAGAACCTACTGCTCCATACTATTTTTCCTTATAAGAATTTTCCTATTAACATGGAAGAAAAACTTACAAATCATAGAAAAAATTACCAAAATAAAATAGAAAAATTACTTTTGCAGCTGACAAATAAACTTAAAGTAGTTTAAGCTATCAGAAGTCAATGATTTATGTTGTCAAATAGTACATGCTGAACTATTAACTTCCTTAAACTTGAAAAGTTGACCTATGCTGCTAGATATACCATTTTTTCCTCTTATTCCTAGTCATGTCAGGAGTGAATGGGCTTTCTTAGAGATTTATACAAGTAAATCTATAGTTTAGGGTGTACAGTTTTCAGTCACTAGTTTAAAAATATAGAGTTAAAGACTATTACCCACTCTAAATACACAGTAAATTTTGGTATTAGGGACTGAAAAAATAAGAAACTATCATTATGTTGTGTATTTATGCTACTTGCATTTAAGACTAGTATACATGGGTAAAGTTTCCACTGCTCAGTGACTTAACCCCTATGCTATTCATTTTCAGAATTGACAGACTTCATATTTCTGGCAGTAGGGAAAAAAAGATTTTGATGATTAGACAACACTTTTTGCAATTTTTGACTTAAAATTTATTTGAGCAAGTTTTAATACTCAATCTAAATGTTGTACATTGAAAATCAAGAAGAAAATGATTTTGGTCTTGTTTCTTTCCATTATATTTGAATATATTTTTCTTCTTCAGGTTTTAAAATTGATGACATATGTTGTAGAAAAAGGTCATCAAGATTTCAGACAGGGTCTAAGACGACAAGCCACTGGAATAAAGGAAGCAACAAGTATGTATTATATAGAAATAATTCTTTTTTTAAGTAATGAAATGGAGACTGATTTGTTACAATTATTTTATTGAGTTTGGTCTGGCATTAAAATTACACAAGTCTGGAATGTCCAGTAAGAAAGAAAATTCTTGCAATAGCTATTGCTCCATAACATGGTCCTCCAAAATGTTATTTGAAAAGTTTAGCAAACATAGACTTGTCAGGATACAGAAGGCGTTTATCTCCCTTTCATGGAGATAAGTCACGTGGGTCACATGATGGACCACTTAGTGACGTTACTTCATACAGTGACAAAAGCAGCAGTCAAATTAAGTTTATTTACAGCAGTCACCATATAGGCCTGATTTCTTTTAGCCTGACCCCTTTGCCTGGGCTGAAGCTAAATGTGCCTCCCCCAGCACCTTACAACACACAGTGCCATTTCCCTTTGGGAATATATCTCTCTCTGATATAGAAAGAAACTCCTGCTTGCAGTCCTCAATTTGAGAAACCCCAAGACTCTCTGTTTCCTGTTTGTGGAATATGTCCTCACCTGGGACATAAATGAATCTGGCCCATTTGAATCTGGAGTCCTAAACATAGCTTCTCCAGACACAGGAGTATGCCCATATTATATGTAAGACCCTTCCTTTTTGTTTCTCTTTACACTCTCCTGTATAGATATATGTGATATATTATTCTCTGCATGGGACAATTGCATATATGCAGATTTAATTTTGCGTATGTCTTAGTATTATAAAAGTCCCTCTGAGAACAAAACATGTTTGCTTTTCAGCTGTTCTGTTCTTTCTGTGAATTACAGTATTGTTATATCATGAACATAATAATCCCCATAATGAAGAAATACAAATCTTTCTTCCATAGCTGTCTCCCATTACATACTAGTGAGGCTAAATTCCTTACAGTGGTGAAATAGTCTTTCTAATTAAAATGACAGTCATTGCATGATGATAGGTGACCTGCAATATTTGTCTCAATGATGTTTTTCCTACACACACAAGACTGATAACAGGCCAGCCAGTCTGATTCTGTTTCGATTTAATGGGACTCTCAATCTGTGAAATAAGTCATTGTTTTTGTTAATCTTTTCTCATAGCATTTAGGTAACTAAATGTCTTCTTTACTCCAAAAGTATAAGTAAAAACTGTAAAAGAATTAAAGGTCAAAGAGTTGATGTTTTCATTTATTAATTTTGTAACCTAGGAAATCTTACTGAAAGGGGAATAACCAAAAAAGAGGTTGGAAATAAAATGGTTATCTTTATAACATCAACAAAATACAATACTCGCCAGTGGTGGGAAGTAGTCTAATATGCTGTCCAACATATTTATGAGGATTGAGACATATCCATTAGTGTTCATATGTATGGTATATAACAATTAACAAAGATTTTTCTAATTTACTGGTATGACAAATATAATCTTCTTCCAGAATCATTCGTACCTTATAATGTTCCTGACTCTTTATGTCTTCACTTTATATAATTGTTAGAAAATCTTTAACATTCTACTGTTAAGAAACAAAAAAAAGTCTAGGTAGGAGGTGATCTAAATTATTCATATTCAAAAAGGCCTTTCCCAAGGTCTATTATTGTAAGGCATGGTGAGTAATAGTTCTTACCTTGCCATGTTAGCCTATATTATGTTAGAGTGACTAGGCTTTCTCAACAATCTAGCACATGCTTTCTACAGTCATAGATGACTTCACTGCATGTCAGGTTTATTTACAATCATTAAAATGACGTTTTTTGAGGTTTTGAAAGTGAGATCAGTTTTCTTTGATGTCTGACTCCAAATAAAATCAACATTCTAAAAGCCACTCATAAACAAAACTTTGTAATCCTAATATGCCAGGAGATAAGTCAGGAAATTATTGAAATTTTAGGCTTAGAACATTTGAAAAAGTTGTTGGGCTGTAATTAGATACACTGGGGTTTTTCTATCTTAAATGTTCTTGCTCATACTTAAATGTCTGTGTTTGATTTTTTTTAAAGAGAAAATGTAATGAATGCCTGTTGTAAATTAATGTTAAAGATTATAGTTTTGATTATTTAGGTGCTTTTTTTTTTAAATTAATGTTTAAAATAAGATTATACTCAGTATTGGGTTTATAAACATTACAAGTTATGAATAATTCTGTCATTTAATTTTAAACAAATTATATTTGCCACAGTTATAAAATAGAAAATGGTGCTTCTGTAGAATAACACCTTACTCCATAATTTCTGTTCATTTGAAATAAAACCAGTTAATTCTAATTGTTACATTGTCAATACTACTTCCACTACATGTCTTAAAGAAATCTAAAAAAATATCCATTTGAATTTGGTAAGATACAAATTAACTATTTGTCAATGCCGAAATATTTTTCACTAAAGATCTTAATTAAAATCTTATTGAGAAAAATCAATTTTCATACATTCATCCAGCATTATACAGGGTTTGATGGATAAATTGTCATCTAAATTACACAAAAATGAAAATGACATTGACATCTCATTTTAACAGATATATTTACCAAAATTACACAAAAATATCTTGAAATACTAAAGAGTAAATTTATTCAATAAAATCACCACTGGCTTCAACCATTGCATCCAGATGACTTTGGAATCTCCTGCAACTTGTCTCCTTGTTTAAGTAGGTGAATGCTGCCATAATCTTTGCCTTCAGTTCATCTTTGTTGTTACAAGGAGTTTTGTTGGTCTTTCACTCAACTGCACTCCATCCATAATAAGTGGGGTTGCAGGCTGGGGAGTTAGGTGGCCAGATGTAAGGGGTGATGTGGTCACAGAAATTGTCTGACATCCATGACTGGGTTCTCCTTCTTGTGTGGCATGGTGCAGAGTCCTCTTGTCAGACATAATCTTCCAGCAGCCATCCTCTTGATCCAGGGCGGCAATGACTCCTCAAGTCACTTGATGTAGGCCTTCATGTTGAGTCTCAGACCCTCACCAACAAATTCAAGAGTTCTTTTCTGATCAGAGGGAGTTTCCCAATCTGCTGTACCTTTTTAATCACCATTAGACTCCTCCAACTCTTTCCAAGTCCTCTGCACTGTCCTCAAATTGACACTTAAACACTCTGAAATGTTCATATTGGAGCTTCTGGTGCAAATGCCAAGCAGTGTAGCATGCCATTTCAAATTTCTGGCAGAGTGAATTGCGTCATGGTGCTCTTTTTCACACAAACAGTGCCCAACTGATCCTACTATACTGTGCAATTGACAAAATAAAAAAAAACAAAAAAACAATGCTCATGCACAAAATTAAAAATATAAAATGGCGACAATTTACCCATCGCAACATGTAGTATGTTTGCATTCTCAGCTACACCCTAACGTATAAAATTGTATTATAACAGGAAGCCTTGAACCTCAGATTTTATGCTGTTTAGTTTAATACATAATTCATTATTCTTTTCACCATTTCAGAGTTCAGTGGCCCACCTGATCCCCTCCATGGTAACGTTCCTTACCTAATGGTTAGACAAACAGCTCAGGTGAGTTATCATGTATAATTTGGTAGACATTAAGCATCAGTCTAACACTCTGTCTTAGCCACTTAGCCACAAATCAGCTGATTTTCATATTTTTTACTAAGCACACTCACTACTCAGTTGTAATTGATCTAGCAAAGCAAGCTTGCTGACCATTACACTATGTCAAGGTGCCCTATAGTGACTTACTAAGTGTAGCTTAGATGTGGCACAAGGCCGCGAGTATGGAGCACACATGTTTAATTACTACTCTGGTATAATTGCTTTAGTGAGACATGTTTGCTAACCATTACACAGTGTTGAAGTGCCCAAGCTGATTGCCATATATGCTGTGAATGCTCACTCTACCAAAAAGGAAAGAAATAATTATGTCTTTAAATTAAGTTAAATTGTTAAATATATTTTAGATAAAAAAAATTTTCTCATTTTTCAAAATCTGATCAAATGACCAAACTATTTTTTTAAATCATTTCTTGGTCATGACCATAACTTTACAGCATCCCTTCATTATAGGTATTATTTGAAGTTTATTTTAAAATTATTACAAAATTATTTTTTTATTTTATAAAAGAATTTACTTATTTAAAAAAAATGTCAAGCCTAAAAATGAATTTAATTTGAAAATGTTTATAAATCTGTTTCCCCCGACTCTTCATACAGCAGTTATTAAATTCTAATGAAGATTGTATGTTTTATTCTTCAACATGACTTGGTCAAAATTAATTTACTTTAAAATATTTAAACCATCTTATTATTATTATTATTGCAGAGTCTTTCTGAAATTTTATTTGATGCCGAACGCAAAATGGAATCCCAAACTGACCAAAAGAAATATTCTTCAAATTCAGGTTTGCTAACCTGTTTTCCTTGTTCTCTATGCTCAAAACTTCACTGCACATTGCCTATCAGCAAATACCCAACAGCTTGTGACTGACATAAGTATAAAATATTTGCCAACAACAATCTGGGTTACAGTCAGGGCCTGATTTAGACCTTAAGAGGTCCCTAGACTAATAAAATTTGGGGGCCCTCCATTATGTATGTCCGCCCACCCCCAGTAGCTATAAAAAAAAAAAAAAAAGATATAGTTTTAGATGATGATTTTTTTTCTATACATATTTAAAAAAGATGTATCAAAATCTCAGTGAGATCCCTTCAAGGTGCCTCATTAAATTTAAAAGACCCATTCCAACTAAAGGATTCCAAATACTCTAAATTGTTTCAAATTAGTTCAAAGGAACCCCGTTAAATCTGAAAATCAACAAATCTCCTCTTGGGAATACCAGGTGCTGTAAGCTTGGATATGCAGGTGGTGTGATTGATGACAGCTCATAATGAAAAATTGGAGAGTCAAGTTTGAATTCCTGTTGAGTTTGTTAGATTCACTTACACACAAATACCCTTGGGAAAGATATGAATCCATCTCTTTTCTTAGATATCAAAAAAAAATAGGTATCAATAAAAAGAATACCCGCTCGGCCCGGTGGCTAGGATCAAAGTGTAGTATCTGCGCTTTGTGAGCTGCCGGGTCGGGTGTCTGTCGAACTCTCTGCTTGCAGAGAGGAACCCGGACGAAGCTCCGCCGAAGGGTGGGGTTTCGTTCGAGGAGGTTGACGGAACTAGCCCGCTTGGACGGGTTTAGATGGGTTTTATTTTTGGCTGGGCCTACGGGCTCAGACATACCCACATTAAAAAGGCCTTGTGCCACATTTAATTCCTGTGGGTGAATTGATAAATACCATCTCTTTTCTTAGATATGACTGAAATAGTAGCAACCAGTCTATAGAAAGTAAAAGCAGCCTATTGCAGGAATTATTCTCCCAAGTTAATCATGAATCAAAACAAATTACTTTCTCTCTTATTCAAAACTGCATTCATTAAGATCAAACTTAGGATGAATGCCTAATGCAAGACCAATGTTGAGACAATCTGCTGAACTCTCTTGTAACAAACAGAAATAAAATAGCCCATAACCTTGATTTAAAAAAAAAAATGCCAACCTAATAAGGAAGGAACATGCTTTATTACAAAGAAAATATTTAGAAGGAACATTTTCCCATCAATAAACACATGCCAAACAGTTTTTCATATAACTGTTATATTAAGTGTATGGTGGCAGAACAAGGAAGAAACGACAGAGGTTTAAGAAATAAATAATTATATTAACAAAAAATACAACAATGGCGAAATGGTGTGAATGTCTCTCATTGAAAGAAAGAGATAAATAAAGTCATCTGCAGAGACGTACGGTAGGAGAGGGAGGGTGAGTCGTGATTTACTGTGGCGACGACCTTTGGCAAGTTGTCTTTGGAGATGGGAGGGCAGATGTGGAGGTGGTGTTTCGACGAGGATGTGAACTCTGGCTGTTGTGCCAACCAACTGGCAAGATGTCTCTTTCATGGGCTTTTATGTCCTTTTCCTAGGCTCAGATCGACTCCAATTTTTATTTTGTTTCTTTCAGCAGGAATGGGTGTTATTGGGTAAAAAATTTGGCTTGTATGTTTTTTTTTGGGAGGGGGATGTGTGAGGAAAGCAGAAGGTGTGTGTGGTGTCGATGTGCACTTGACAGAATTTTTAGTTCAGTCTTTGCTTTTGGAGCATTTGCATCCTGCCAGTAGTGGAAATTTGTGTAACAAATCAGAATAAGAACTGGTTTTAGGAAGATTATAACATCACCAATTTTCATAAAACATATACTTAAAGAATTTGAGATCCATATAGTTGCAGCCAATGTAACCTAAGTTTTTCACTCCCACACCAAAGAGATGAGCACAAGCACACACATTACCACCCAAATCCTGCAAGACCAACTAAAAATATGATGCACAAACATACAGGCATAACAATATCTCACTACCATCTTCAGTAATTATACACACAGATACTAATGGAATGGCACAAAATTGCCCATTAGAATTCAGATGCACACACAAACTCACACCAATCACACCTGACCAATCAAAAGAAAACAACTAAAAGTACCAGAACTTTTTCTTCTATAATTCATTACCAAAAAATTTCTGATGAAGCTTAAATAAATTTGGAACCTGCTAAATTTATAAATGTTTCCTAATTGTTCCTTATCCTATTGCACTTTATACTGTAAATTTCTGTTAATATTTGGTAATTTTTGTTAATATTTGGTTTTTGTAATAGTTGAACTAACAAATTTTATATAATAATATCTAACTAACTCAATAACAGTTACATTTGAAAAGAATTTATCTAAGTTTAATATAAGTATATAGACAGAATGGGTTACATAGGAGTTAAAAAATAATACAATTTTCAGATTAAAAAAGACAATTCTAGGTATTCTTGCCATGTAATTACATGGTTAATCTAATGAAACCCAACCAAAATAGCACTCTGTACCTTGGAAGGTACAGAGTGCTGTTTTTTAGCTCATGATTTCTAAAGATGGAACCACCACATCACAAACATTAGAAAGAACTATTTTAAACAAATATATAATCTTATATCTATGAATAATTCTGATTTTTTTTTCTTCAGCTTCAACAGGAATGGGTAATATTCAGGGGAAAGGTAAAATGGAAGGCTTTGGAAATTCTCCTCAGCACCAGCCAAGTAAGTTGTTACTATTTTTTTTCTTTACTTAGCTTAGTCTAACACAAGGTCACAAGTATGAGAACAACCAATAAAGATCAAACTTCAGTAGTAATGTTTTGCTAGATTATTTTTCTACCTTATGACATGTTTGTGGGACATCTGGGACAATGTCCTAACTTTGAAGCTAAAACTCTCACCTGTTGGAAATTAGTTTCTAAGATGGGTTGCTAATTATTTCTCTACAATAGGCCTCCTTGTAAGTATTTAAACTAAGCTTAGTGTTACGACCAATACCAAGTAATGAGTGAAAAGTAAACTTATTACTAATAATGGTCTGTGAAACTAATTTACTAAGCCAGTGTTTCATGGTGAGATATCATACTAAATTTAATTTTATATTAGTCTACAAGTATAAGAGACCAAGTGAAGATTGAACTCACTACCTAATAGTAATGATCTACTAGACTTAGTTACCATTAACCTATGATGAGACAATCGGTTGGTTAGATTCATCTTTCTCTTTGATTTCTTAGTTTTACTATATAGTTTTGTTTCTTTTTTTTTAAATTGTGCAGCACCTATCTTCCCAAATTTGTTACAATTGACACTTGAACTCTGGTTTTGGTTAACAAACCTTCAGAAGAGAATTTTAAACATTTTTATAGCATCATGCATAAAGTATTCTATTTCATATTTATTTATCATTTGAAGATTTTTGTTGTTAATTCCATCTGAACACACCAGTGCCAAAGAAACAATAAATCAAATATTTGTAGAGTAAATTTCAACAATCCTAAAGCAAGAATAAAATAATATATTGGCTATAATTATTTTTTACTTTTTGAGAAATTTGGCCATTGATGAAATTTTTTATTTTTTTAACTATTTATTATTCAAACTGTTGTCTTCATCTTTATTGTTATTAATACATTTCAACTACTATGTCTTTCAGCTTCTCTTAGGTGTGTATTCAAAATACACTTGAGTCTGTCTAATTAAGGCTGCTTAGACATACCGTATATATTTGTGAATAGATTGCTGTGGTGAACAGCCCTGTAGAAGCAAGCAAGCCAGAGTGGCTTGCATCTGGTGTATAGGAAAATAAGGGTCTTACCTTAATCAGCATGACTCCGTGAAAATGGCATTACTCTCCCGTCCAGCCATTCTAGCAGTATTTGCAGTGATGAGGGTTTTTTGTACAGTTTGGTATGCTTCCACCAATAGCAAGTCGTGTGCTGATTGGTCGAACTGGAGGAGGCAATTTGCCTGTGTAACTGAGAATAACAGCGAAGAATGCTGATTGGCTGGTGAACTGCGGTGTTGGCCTGATAAAAGAGTGCTAGAGCAGTGAAAAAGTGGGGGAGAAACGTCGACTATACGTATTGATGTGTGAAGAAAGCGAGGACGGTGAATTGAACCAGCGATATTGTGATTTGTATAAGTGACATTGCAGCAATACAGGCTTATTTAAACTACAATTGCACCAGTATATAGGTCACACCCTTAGTTTGGGCTTGTTAAAGTGGGTATTTGTGGTTGGCTCACAGATGGGTTACACTATAATCTGGTGAGTTACATGATCCTTGTTTAATGTAAATATAACTAATATTTGTTAAATATTTTCAAATATTCACCTTTATTTCAAAACTTTGCTTACATATATTAAAAAAAGTGTTTATTCATTCAGATATGTTATTAAACTTCATCAGGACTGAAACCCCCAAATTCTTCTTCATCATCATCAGTGTCAAATATTCTTTTCATTTGTTCATCAGTTACTGTGTAGTCATCAGATAGTTTGGGGCAATATCTTTTAGAAAATAGGCTATCAAATACAGTATTTTTCTTTTTTAATCATTTTACTCCAAGCAAGGCAATAAAAAAAACACTAAGACACAAGGGGTCATTGAGTTTGAAACAATATGAGAAAAAAAAAACATTATCATTAAGGAGTGAGAACAATAAAAGAGCATAAATTATGAAGACAAAAGATAACGATTGACAATGCATTTACATTTTTGAAAATCAAAGTTCTCTCTCTTTTTCATACTTGAACAAACCAGATCCTTATATATCATATCATTTTCAGTGCTTTGCTGGGACTACTGATATGCCACAGTCTACTTTAGATTCTCTATGATGTCAAATGGATAGGTCACACCATTTATTTTTATCAAAATTTTGGTGAAAAAAAGTGCAACTTATACTCTAGTATATATGGTATCTAGAGATGCCACTTATTTGCTGTTTCTTTCGTTCACAGTCATGGAGATCCATCAGGCTGCACATCACAGTTACTATAAACAATATTATAGTAGTCCTTTGTCTCTAGGCATCAGTGTCTCACAAGCATTTTTAGGGACCTCATTTTAACCTTATGTCAAATTCTAATTATGAAAAATGTGTAACCTTCTTGTGATAATGTCAATAAAGATATAAAAAAAAAACACTTTTTTATTTATCAATCAAGTATTTTTGTTTGTTTAAATTCCATCCCTTACATGTTTGGTTTTTATTTTTAGAAATTTACTTTCAAATCTGTGAAGTAATAATTTTACAAATTTTAAAAAGAATTAAATTTTTTTTTTGAAAGAAATGTTAAGTACAATGTTTTCTCCAAGCAAAACAATTTTTTCATATAAATCTTAGAGGAAGGAGCTAGAAGTTAATCTTTATTTATACAGAAAGGTTGCATAAAATAAGTTTTTGTCTTAATATTGGTAACTTTTAAAAAATCAGAGTTACCTGCACTTGACTGCAGACAAAACACAATTATGTATTCTAAATTGGAACATTTTTCTATTAAAACATGAATGAGCTTTTACAGTTTTATGTGACACAAAATCATAGAACTGGCATACTGACACTTTTGTATTCATTTTGGTATGTTTTCTGTACTGTTACTATTAAATCTGTCATAATTAAAGATAAAAGGACATTACTTTTTGACTGCTTCTTGTATATGCTTTCATTATAATAAACCTAACCTTTTAATAAAATTAGCATCAAAATATCATAAATTGTTTTGCTAAACAATAAATGTTTGTATATATTTCTTTTCTTCTACTCTTGTTTCTTATAAGTTTTTTTCTCTTTTTTTTCCCCCCTCACTTACATGATTTGCTAAATGCAGAAACAACAGGCCAACTTTTAAGGGACAGTCTTGGGAATTTTTTGGATAAACTGACTGAATCTCCACAGTCCAACCAAACCTTTCTGACCGATGCACACAAACTAAGCAACAATTTTGCTCCCGTGAAACTTGATCAGAAAACAGAGATTGATATGTTAGCACAAAATTTCACCGATTCTCTTCCATGTGGTATGTAACATTGCTTTTTCTTATACCTTCAAAATTAAACCATTGTGCTAAAAAAAAATAAATCCTACTTCATTCACTGTTTAATGATAGATGTCAAAATACAACCTTGACACTACATTATAACACTTTTCATGTAAGCCAGTTTGCAGCTAGTTTATTCTGTCATATGTTTACTGGTTGCAGGATGAAAATCAAAGAGAATGTAGCCTATTGAAAAGAAAACTGCCTTATGTTATTGGATACATGGAAAATGAACTATATGTTGTAGTGATTTACTAAGTGTAGCTTATTTTTGACATGAGGCCAAAAGCATGGGCACCCAGTGAGGATATAACTCACTACTCAATCTTAATTGATCTAGTGAGACAAGCTTGCTAACCATTACACAAATGTCAAAGTGCCCATGATCTATGTTATATTTGCTCAATAAAATTAAACTTGATGCCCTCCACCCTCTGGTAAAAGAGCCAAAGCACATGAGTATAGTTGAGTTCTATGTTGGGTTCAAAAAACAAAACTGTATTAACATTTCTTGATTAAGTCATGTATCTAAAATAATAGCTGCTCAGAAGTGAACCGAGAGAAACTGTACATGCTATATATTTAGTAGTTAGTCAGGGGAAGAATTTAACAGCCTTCCTGAGACCGTTAGTGATGTAAATATAATGTCTCTTTCCTGTGACTTGGAAGATTTCCAGCTGGTATTTCACCAACCTTGCATTTTTAACCACAATATGACTGTAGAACATATGCTAGTTGAAAACCCCTGAACAGTCATGTTGTAGTTGTTAAATGTCAATGAGGAAGCTCCAAATGCTTCTGTAACCATATGATTGATAATTATCAATGTGTACTTATTTATATATTTATTCTTGTCTGTAGTGGGAAGGGAGCTAAATTAACTTAAGTTAGTAAATCTATGAGTGCTTACTTCCCTTAGTCATTTTAATATTTCTATACAAATAAAATATTTAAACAAAATTAGTTCCCAAGCAAAATGAAATGTTTAATTAAACAGTTCCTTTACTCCTACGTTTTTTAGATTGCAGTCTTATTTGTTCAAGCCTTTTATGTGAGGCACTCAGATACCTTTGTCTATTAAGTGATTGTCTTGCTTCAACTTGGTTATGAAATAGGGTTTGGCATCACCATCTTTGTCTTTCTGTTGCTAATCTTTTTCTTTTGAAAGATATTTCCATTTCTCTGTTATATTAAACACATAAAATTTTTAACATGAAAAGATATTAAGCAAAAAGAGATTTATTTACTACCAGGAGTAATCAATAAACCATAGATACCATTGAATGTCTAAAAAATTTAAAGGAAACAAATTAATTCATTGGCCTTTATTGTAGTTGGGACTTCTTTTTCTCTGCTGTATTAAATCTCAATACATTGTTTCAAGACATTTTGTTTCATTGCATCTCACTATTAAAACTTTCTAAGAACTGACATCGTTTTTGACAGCACATGTACACTAGTCATAAATCAATCTTGTTAGTTTTCAATCCCCGTTTTTATACTTGTGTGTTTACATAAAACACCCCTGTGCTATGCAGATGTTCCAACCAAAGTTTTTCTCAGCTGACTCAGATGGATCTTCAAATCACAATGTTGGTTTCGGTTCAGGTACAAAATAGAAGTGATCAAACCACCCATATGTGTGGGTGTGGAGTTGGGAGGATCAGGCATGGACTTTTACAATAGAAACTAGGGCTTACTAGAATTTGCTTACCTAATTTTTAATTCTCTTTCAATTAAACATGGATGATTGTTTCTTGTTCTAGTGACAGTGCCACATGTTCCTGGCAAAGCAGGAGGTGGTTGGGATGATGATGTTCAATCACTTCGTTTGTCTTCATCACACATATCAGCCAATAAAGATCACCTGAGCAGTACAGAGTTTGTAGATGACAGGTAAGTTCTAATAGAAATCATTCATTCCTAAAATGACTCTTTGGGAAATATTCTAAAATTAAGTGTGAAAGTTGCTTACAGTTGTCAGATGGTCTCATTTTTTGGCCAGCCGGGTACAGCAATGGAGATGTCACTGCCTTTTGTTTTATTGAACTGCCATAAAAGTTAAATATGTTGAGTTTTAGCATCTCGACCATCAACATTTGTGGAATCATTAATGGATCAGTGAGAAGTAAAGTTAACTTGTGACGATAAAGTCAACATCAACATTTTTGTGCATGTGGGGGTATAAAGTACATAACTTTTTTGAGAATAAGGGGTGGCAGTACACAATATGGTAGGTAAGTATGAATATAGAAATTATTCAAACAAATGGTGTTTTTATTAGAAATTGCAATTTGCCAGTTTTCTTGGGGAGTGGGGTGCAAATTTATTTAAGAAATAAATTATTGTAGGTTTGTGATTCTTCAGAGGTTAGAAGTCCAAGTGTTAGCAAATTTTTCACAATGAGCAATTAGAAAAAGGAATTTTTTGGTTTGCTGAAGTTTAATAAAAGAATTATTATTTTGTTTTTTTGTTTTGTGTAGGGATTTTGTGAAATCCAAAGGTGCATTGGGATAGCAAAAAATGCCTTCCAAAACTAAACAAAGTATTAAGAAACTGGAAAATTTTGTTAGAAACAGAGAAAAGTACAGAACTGCTATGTCATATAAATTCTCCTATATGGCAGTGAATACTGGATAATTTTTTTCACAGCTGAAGAGATGCAACTGAGATGTGGTTCTACATAAGGATGCTGAGAATGCTATGAATGTAAGAGGGGCAGAGGAAAATGGCTAGTCATGTACCTAATGAGCTTGTGTAAATGGTTGGCAGAACAGATAAGGAAAGGGATAATAAAAAGGCTCAAAAACAGTACTCAGAGCTATGAAGGATAAAATGTTGTAGAAAGGCATGATTGACCATGTCCTGAAGGGACACAGCACATAGAAGAAAAATTATGGTACTAGATGAGGTCAAAATATTGATAGTCTGTAATATGTACATTAACTTGCATTATAAGACACAAGAGATAGTGTGGGGCAATTTCTTTTGGAAAATAGGCTATCAAATACAGTATTTTTCTTTTTTAATCATTTTACTCCAAGCAAGGCAATAAAACCACTAAGACACAATATGAGAAAAAAAAAACATTATCATTATTAAGGAGTGAGAACAATAAAAGAACATGAATTATGAAGACAAAAGATAACGATTGACAATGCATTTACATTTTTGAAAATCAAAGTTAACTTGAAAGCAAGAAGCCAGAAGAGAGTTCCACAAGTGAGAAGTGTGAAAGAAGAAAATGTTAACATAGAACTTACATCTAGCAATTTCATTTGTAAAATGATGAGATCTAGCTGCCAATTTAGTACTGTGCTTAAATTTATAAAGTCAAAGTACCAAAGAGGAAAGTTCATCAGAACAATTACCATGAAAATATTTATAGAAAAGGCACAAGGGAGCTATGATTTGGTGGTGGGAAAGTAACTGAAGTTGAGATGCTAGGTCAGGACCAATAACATTGCAGATTCTTCTTGGTATATTATCTCTAAATATAGGGTGTTTCATTAAGATGGATCAAAGTCAGCAGTAAATAAATCAATGTTATTGTTGAAAATTTATTTATTTCTCTATTGGTTCATGTTATTTAAGTCATGGCAATTATATGTGAAAAATAATATCACTCAAATGTCTGCCAAGGCTTCGGCAGAACACTTCCACTCGATAGTCAAAATTTTTGATGATGTCTCTGCATAGTTGCTGTTAGATCTCACCAATATGCCTTATTATCTCATCCTTCAGCTGTTGAATTGTTTTTGGCTTGTTGGCATAGACCTTACTTTTGAGATGACCCCAAAGGAAGAAATCTAAAGGTGTCAAGTTGCACGATCGTGGTGGCCAATTGACTTCGCTGTTTCAAGAGATGATGCGACCTGGAAACTTCTTATTACATTTCTGTTTGAACGTCCATTTTCGTAATAGGCTTCAATAACTTTAACCCATTTTTTGATTGTTAATCTTTCCATGGTTGAAATTGCCAAAGACTTAAGTTGTTAAATCTAAAAGAAAAAAATCATTAGACACTTAAACTTAATTCACATTTAGAATCGGTCCAAGTCATTGGAACACCCTTTATATAGGAGAATGTGATAGCAATAGCATTTCATAAATGAATGGTCGACTTATAAATTTGTAAGATAGATTCTGGTTAGAAAAATTGTCTCGCACGATATAGTGAAACAGCTTTCCTAGCAACAGACCTAGCAATTGATTCAATAAAATCTTTCCACTTCATGTCAGCAGAAAACGGAAAAATATTTTATTTATTTATTCTTCTTGTCACTATGCAATGCACAATGAAATTGGAGATGCTGTTGTAGATATTGAGCAGGTTATCATTACCAGATTGACAAAGTCTGTTTGACACAGCCATTCCAACATGAAGAGACATATCTGAAAAGCAAAATGGTAGACCTTTTGTAATTGCTCTTTGTCTTAAAACTAACAGAATTAAAACTTTATCCTGAGGGTAATGGTTCAAACAAGTGTTACCCAAGATGCATGTTGTCTTTCATTATGTTTTTTTGCTCTGCTGTGACAACAAGAATTAGAAATCTCCTCTAAGGAGGGCAAGTGAGAACACTATTATTTTCTAGGTAACATCTGTAACCATTTGGAAGGATTGCTTGATATAATGAAGTTTTTTTTATGTATGATAAGTATCAAAAATAATATTGTAGATATTGAGTTGAATGTAAAAGAGTTTATCTTTACATAGAATGCTAATAAATTTACTATGGACAGGATGACAAGCAATACAACAATTTTTGATGCTAGGGATTTTAAAAAAATGATTGGGCAATCTTGGACTTTTGAACCCACAAAAAATGGTGTGTCAAAAGGGCGTTTTATTTCTCTTGACACTGCTATTATTTTAACTACCTTCACTCCTCAGCAATGTTTGTTGTTTTAAAAAGTGATGATTAAAATTGTAATAAAGCCTAAACATATGAAAGTGAATTTATACATTTTCTTGGTTCTTGAGAATTAACAACAAAAATAATAAACACTATTTATTAGATTGTTTATTTACACTATTGTTTACTGAAATGGTTGGCAAAACATTGGCTAATTGCCAATTGATTTGAACTTTATAAAATTGTAAATAATAAGGATTTCCTTTTAGTTGGTTCACATATTTTAATAATTTATTAAATGTTTAAATTTATGAATAAAGAATTGTTTTCATATTTATTTATTTATAAATTGGTAAATGATAAATATTGCATTGCATTAGTTTCCCCACCTTAAAAACTGACCTTGTGTCAGAACTCGTCTTAGTGGGGAGACAGAGTAAATACCTAGTTTTAATGCAATAGTATTAGTTTACAGAATGTTGTAAAAAATTATTTTTTTAAATAATCTAATAAATAAATAGTGTTTAATATTTTTTTTGTAAATTCTCAAGAACAAAAAATGCATAAATTCACTTTCACCATATGTTAAGGTTTATTACAATTCTAATCGTTGCTTTTTGAAACAGTAAACATTGCCAAGGAGTGAAGGTAGTTAAAATAATTACAATGTCAAGGGAAAACTGCTCTTTCAACACTCCATTTCTTTTTTTTTATGGGTCCAGAATTGCCAGAGATTATTTCAATATCATTCTATTATGCTTTGATGTGTAATTTTATTCTGTTTTTGAGGCCTGACTCTGAAGAATACAGTTTGCCTGACTGGAGTGAAGAGGATCAATTGGTGAGTGAGCTGATACAGAATCCTCGTCAGATCCCTTCACGAACGGATCTAGAAACATTCAACACCAAATGCAGCTGTCTTAACTGTGATAAAATTCTTGAGTTGATTAACCACCATTTACAGACAGATGCACCAAAACATTCTCAATTGGTAAGCAAATTAAGATCTTTATTTCAAGTCCTTCTCCTGCCTCAAGAGCAAATCCTTCTATAACTATACACAATATAATATTTTACAAGGCAAAATAAATAAAGCAGCCACTTTTCAGTGTATTTTGTGTAATTACTCTTTTGTTTTATTGAACAAAAGCAAAATATATGATATTTTATGTTTGAATTTTTAAATGCGGAATTATCATTATTATATATTTTGCTATTCAGACAAGCAAGCTCATCTTGGATGTTACATTCACAATGTTTCAGCCATTGTATCTTCCAGCTTTCTTCAGGTGTCTGTTGTTATACATGGTAACATTCTTGGAATCTCAAACCAAACTTTTTATACAATCACATTTCTCCTTAGTCTTTTGAACAGGTTTAACCTTTGTTTCCTGTTTAGGATTGGATTTCCTATTCCTTCTAAAGTCTATTTCAACTCTATACTTCTGATGTCTCCGCCTAAACTTTGAAATTTTATTTACTTTTTTTTTTTTTGTTACCTCAATAGGAGTAGATATGTTCGGCTATTGCCTGGTTCACATCCCTCCCTGGTCTCTTGAACATGAGTAGTGGTTTATCCCTTGTTTCCTGCTTTGCATTGCATTTCCAGTTCCTTCTAAAGTCTTTCTATTCTTTCATTCCCAGTAACCCTTTGCATCTTAGTGGCATTATTGTCTTAATTGTGGTGAATTGATTAAAAAAAAAAATCCATGGGGCTAGCTTGTTCTCATTCTGCTTTCCATGCTTAGGGGAGATAACTCACATAAGTTAATACTCATGTCTTATTCACCTTTGTATTGCATGTCATTTCTTTCACTTACCAGAGTATGTGACTTTTCAGTACTACCAGACTCAGGGATTGAACTCATTACTGCTAAGGAACCAGATATCTTTTAACCAACACTATAATGTTTTATATGTTAACCAACACTATAATGAATAGTATGAAAAAAACTGGTAAGTATTAACTGATATGAAACATCCCTTATTATTAAAGGTACAATGACTCTTTTTTGTTTTTTCTTTGGGTAGTGGCTTTCTTCTGTACTCTAAAGGATAGGCTATCAATATTCTTGAAGTAATAGAGATAAGGGGAAAGCCTGCACACTTGAGAAAACTTATTAAAGAAACATTTTCTCTAGAGTGTACAGGCTTGTCGACAAAATACTGTTTAAAATAAACTGAGTGTCTACCCAAATACAGATATCCACGAAAAATAATGTTTGAAGTAAAAAAAAAAATCCATTAATTCTTTAGAAATATATATGAATAAAAGCAAAAGGAAAATTTATCTTAGCTGACACATTTCATCCTCTGTGATCAAAGCAAATGTGTTAGCTGAGATAAGTTTTCTTTTTGTCTTTATTCATATTGTCCTCTTACAGATATACTCTATCTAAAATTTTCACATACAGTGCTGTTTGATAAAAGTGACTCACCTGTTTTTTTTTACTAAATGTTCTCTTCTCCAATGAAATGAAAGTTGAGCTAAATTCAAAGGATAAGCGATCTAAAATCCAAAGAAGAAGCTTTGAAAGCTCTTTGAATTTAGCAGTAAGTACTGTCAGGCATCTGTTCAATATAATGTTCTGGGGATGCTTTTATTTTCATGAAACTGCTTTCTTAAAACCTATTGAAAAAACCCTCAGGAGCGAGTAGTACAAGAGAATATTAGAGTCTTTTCTGCTCCCTTCTGCTGAAAGGGTGCAAATCGACCCCACCAAGCTCATTTTTATGCAGGATAATGCTCCTTGTCACAAATCAAAATTGATGAAGGAATACTTTGATGAGAAGCAGGTGAGTGTTATGACATGTCCACCCCATAGAAAACTTATGGAGCATGTTGCTCAACTGCTTTCTCGAGAGCCTGTACTTTATAATACTTCTGGGGGTCTTTTCAATAGGTTTTAAGAAAGTAGTTCCATGAAAAGAAAAGCATCCCCAGAACATTATACTGAACGGATGCTTGACAGTACTTACTGCTAAATTCAAAGAGCTTTCAAAGCTTCTTCTCTGGATTTTAGATTGCTTATCCTTTAAATTTAGCTCAACTTTTGTTTCATCAGAGAAGAGAACATTTAGTAAAAAAAAATCAGGTGAGTCACTTTTATTGAACAGCACTGTATATTGAGTATGGATAGGAATCCAACAAAATGATAGGAAAACGAACAAGTAGGAAACAGATCTTAATCTAATATTGTTTCACTTTATTAAAGCTTCGTCAGAGATCAAGATAGAAATGATAAAAACTGATTGAAAGCAAAGAGATGCAGATTAATGTTGTGTTAGGCTACTTCATTGCTTAGATACGTGTCATGTGTATTGAAGTAACAGATAATATTTAAATATGTGTGGCAAATATGACATCGTGGAAGGTGACTTTTTGATGTTATCAGCTTGGGGAGGCGATCACAGCATACGGCATCTTGGGAAAGTGCCTGAAAACCATACCTAAACCATGTGAGTGAAATTGGGTAGATGGAACTATTTGGGAACTGTTGATAGTTGTACTAGCACAAAGTTGCAAGTCATCATGACCAAGGGTTTGGGCATACTGGCCTTGTTCAGACTATTGATCACACCAGATAATGCACTCTTTCCCAGAAACTGTGACTAAGATTTTCTCAGCATAGTTGCAGTATAAACTGCAATAAGGATTGACAATCCATCTTTCTAGACAGGCATGATAAATTACATCTGGCAGCAAAGCCTCTCTGATTGGGAGATTGGAGGTTTTGAAGAGCATGGAACCACCTCTTAATTGCTGTTGTTCCCCAGTCCTTCCTGACTTGGGGTAGTAGCATCTGTTAGGGTCCCAGCTATGGGCAAATATTTCAGAAGGGCCACAATTCAGACAAATACTATACTCTCATCCTAAGTGTAACAGTCATGCCTACAAAAAGTAAAATAATATTAATATTCCTAAAAATATCTCTTAAATGACAATGACAAAATCTTATTAAAAAAATATATTTTGAAAATTGCTCTTTATAAATTACCAATAAAATATTTCTTCAGATTTTTCCAGGCATTGTTTTTAAATTAAATGTCCTTCTCTTTTCATGACTGTAATTACAAAAGGTCTACCATTTCTCTTTTCAGATGTGCCTCTTCATGTTAGAATGGCTGTGTCGAACAGACTTTGTCAATCTGAATCTTATGGCTTCTCTCAGTAAAGATAACCTGCTCAATATCTACAACAGCATCTCAAGCAACGATAACTTGAATGCGGATCCTACCAATGAGATGCTGATCAAATCCAAGACCCGAAAAGTAGGCCTAAACATTTTTTTCATAAATTCTTAAATAATACAAATATGTATGTTTGTACAAGTACTTCTTGCAATTAAAAATGCAATATGTTTCGAAATACAAATATAAATACAAGTAATATTCTTCCAGATTCCAAAAATACAAAAACAAATACACTTCTGAAACTAAGCAAAAATATAGATATAAATGCTTTTTCACATAAATACAAAGACTCTGAAAATGTATTTAAATACAATTCAAATACATTTTTATTTGATTTGCCACTACCAACAACCACTGTGTATTGACAAAACCTGAGTTCAATGATGTCAAGACTAGAGCAGCTCATTTCATCCTTTTCAGTTTGTAAACTCAAGACATACGACCAGGCTTGGTGGTCAAAAATTTGTCAGTAACTTCATCCACATTTATATGTCCAAATTATTCCTTTTTGATGCTTAATAAAGCCAAATTGAGTAGGTGTTTCTGACCCATTGTGCTTCAGAGATAGATTTTTATTCATTTTAGTTTGCTGAAAGAGTGCTCCAGGCTATTTGTAAATTGGGGAACACACCATCGCCATGAGATTTTGGTTTAATGAAGTCACTGTCTTTTCTTTTTTGTATTAGCATTCATGACCGAGTTCTATTCCATCAAAGTCACCCTTGTATGCTGCAGTAGCTACTTTGCATTTTTCTACCGTGTCCTCATTTGAGTCAATGAGGCTTTTCAATATCCAAGGGGAAGCCAAATTGCTCATGTAACTGACTGGACCTTGTAAATCTTTCAGTTCTGTATTCAACCTGTCCAATACTGTCTTCAAGGTAACATCCATTTCTTTTCTCACTTTTAGAGGCTCATCTTTTGTCTCCTCTTCGGCTGTTCTCTTTTTACAATGCACCCTTCTCTATTGACCAACATTAATACCCAATTTGAAGCATTATTCCTCACCTCTTGCAATTGAATTTTTACAGAGAGAATCCCGTTCACTCATAACAGATTGTTGCAGACTTGGAATATCAGCTCAAGCTTCATTGAAGTTCATTCTAGGGAACTGAAGTCTCTTCTGTATTTGATCAATGAAAGTCAGGACATTATCCCAGAACGGCAGCAGAAAGTTTGCATGTTGTGCAGCAAACAGCTGGTATCGCTTCATGTATTGAGTGATACTGAAATGGTACTTGGCATATCCTTCAACAATTTAGCTATGTCATCATATTTTACAATGTGAGCAGCATCACACATAGCATTCCATCTTGTATCAGGGGGCCACTTTACAACCATCCCTGCTGTCTCCTTCAATTTCTCCCACCACATTGTTGAGCTGGAGAAAAAAATTGTATAATGAATGAACTTCAAAAAATGATATAGCAAACACTTGTTCTGATGTTGCATGTACTACTACAAAGCTCAAAGAATGGTTGTTACAATTCACAAAGATTACTTTCAGGTTTCTCTTTGATAATATGTGTTTCTGGATACCAGACATCTTCTCAGCCATTGTTGCAGCATTGTCATATGTCTGTCTATGACAGTCATTCAAATCAAGACCATCTCATTCTAATTTTGAGGTAGTGTTGAACATAATCCCATAGTATCTGCTTGTTTTGTCTCTCTTACTTGACAAAAATGTTGCAGAATGTGGATGCAACTTGACAAACCATGTGATGCTGCAACAGAGGCTCGTACTTAACGAGTGCAAGAAAATTACCAAGATTGTTACTTGATGCAATAACTTCTCATTTCCATGAAATACCAGATGTTGAGTCACCCAAAACTTGATACAATCCACAAAATGCATGAGAAGATCCTTCTACAATTGCTTCTGTTCCTTTATATGCTTCTGTCAATCATAGACCATTTCTGATATGCGTCTCTCAAAGTCTTTCTAAAAAATGGCACACAGTGATGAGTCTCCTGTTCATGTTCTGCTATTCTTTTGTTTCATTTTTTCCATTTTCAAAATCCACAAGATTTTTTAAAAACTGTGCTTTGGTTAACAGGGGCTGTTGAAAACAATAAACAGCCAAAACAATACACTACATCATTTTTAATAGAGTACAACAACCAATTACACAGAATTGTAGACCGGTCCTATAGTTTTCTTTGAAACCAGTAATTTGGGAAGCTGCAGTTGACTCCCACGTTTTGTGCTCGTTTCACTTCACATCACTTCTTCAACATGTCGACTCTCAATAACTTTCTGATCTTTTGTAACTTTGAAAAGGTTGTCTTTGTTTTGAAAAGCTTTATCACCCATCTTCCCCATTTGTATGTGTAGATCATCAGAAATTTGTGGTTTATCACAATTTACAAATTTAAACAATTTACATCTTTCTTGGTTAATACTACATATTTAGTATCATCATATTGTGAATGAAACAAAGATGAAAGCTGATTGAAAGCATCCAATAAAACCATTTGCTTTGCCTTAGAATCTATCCAAACTTAACAGCCAAATACATATATATGTTGCAATAAAGCATTTTTCTCTATATTCTCAGTGGGAGTGCATGGTTTTCCGTAACAAACTTCAAAGACCTTCATTGAGTTTCTCAGCATAGTATAATCATATAATAATAGTATAGCAGTGAAGGCTACAAAAAACACACTGTAAAGCTTTTGCCATTTCTAGCAACAACCAAAATTGTGTCATAAAACTCATGAATCTTTTTGCATCAAAACCATGTATATGGGAACATATGGCACATTATATCTGACAGTGAGTTACAATAAGATTATTATGTGTAAATCTTTTATATATTCATTGAAATGCTATGATCTACCAATTGAGGCAAGGAGAAAAATGACCATTATTATCATTTCACAAAGAAACGCTGGGTTTACCATCTCAGGAATACATCTTAAAACATTAATATGAATTAGTTTTCAATCTGGCCTCAACCAAGGGAAAACAGAATTAAACAACTCTTCTTATGCTTTGGCTGGCATGCACTCCCATTTGCACTGTGCATGATCAAAAACCTACCAGCACCATCGCCAAAATAATTCATGACATGCCGTTAATAAGTATCTGTGAGAAGTCACAAAATGGATATTAAAGTAAATAAAAAGGAGGAAATTTTAGGTCCTCTTTCACTACTTTTTGAATTAATTTCCTGACATTTTCACCAATAAATATGTTAAAACTTGGCCTACCCTAACCTAACATGGTATTAATTTTTCACCACATCTAAATAAGTTTGGTTAGATTGGGTCTAATTAGGCAAGGTTTTCATACTTGTTTTTTTTTTATAAAAATATTGAAAGTGGAACATTTCACTTGCAATTCACTCCCAGTCCCAGCAATAAACTTGCTAATCACCGAGCAATTTTGTGCCACTAGTTTAAGAAGCTGGAATAAAAGACAACTGATTTTAAAACAAAAGAAATATCAGTTGAAAATTGATCCTAACAAACAATGCTTTGTCTAGTACAATCTAAGAATACAGGGGCGTGACCAGTCATGCATTAAAGGTAAGGTTGGAGGAACATCAAAAGGCTGTAGTTAGGATAAGGAGGGAGATGTTGAACTCATGTATGGAAGAAAAAGAGTGATCATCAACTCTAGCAGAATGAAATGAAAATAACAGAAAGCATCAGCTTAAAATTTGATTGTTTGCTAAAAGAATATTTAGGGGAAAAATGTGGGTGGGGAGAAAATTTCTAAGGGTAGCAGAGATTTTTTTTTTTTAGAATTGTTCCAACTGGCAAAATAATTCATTATATTTTTTTATTTTTTTCAGATAATCCGTACACTAGAAAAATTAACTTCTTATAAAAACATTCTTCCACTGAACCAAATGTCAGACAAATTAACTCCCAATGACAGTGACCCTTTGAAAGAGACCACCTTCAGTATCAACTTATCACAGGTCACTCTCCCTAACATTTACTCTGAGGAAGCGGAAAAGGAAAACATGTTAGAAGGCAGCATGAGCAAATCTGTGTTTGATTTTATTCGAATGGAAGAAGAGAAATTTGAAGCAGAGAAATCGGCAAAAACAAATCCTGAAGCCATGAGTCCCTCAGGAACAAAACAATACTCACCGCACAGTCCGAGTTTAAGTCTTTACTCCAGAATAGACCCAGAGTTGAGTGATGCTTCTTCACAACCATCAGCTGGCTCAGAATTCTCATTACTGAATGAGGATTCGCTTGAAACAAACGAAAACTAATTTGGGGCATTAGTGTTTATTTTCTTTCATTTGTTGAAGCTACATCCTCTGCTTAACTTCAATCTGTGGGGAAGATTTCCATATTGAAAACAAATTTATGCACTATATCTACATATGTATTTTTTAAATTGTACTTAACTGTCAGTTTTCATTTTAGAGACCTTGACAATCACAGAATTATGGTTGTTTTGAGTGATTTCCTCAGAGGCAAAGATCAATTATAGAAATTTATACAGCAACCTTGTGTCTTGAGGAAAAAAAATGTCAATATTTGTGAGATGAAGTATTCTGAAACTTTCTTTGGACTGATATTGTCAACACTGTTCATCACCATAAAGTGAGGGATCACTTTGTATAACAAGCTGATCTCTCACTTTAGAATCTCAAAATGTATAATAAATTGCTTATGACTTGATATCTCTTGCGTTAGTTGTTATTGACATTAAGCAATTTCACTGGAAAATTAGCCATCAGCAGTTTTCAGGCAGCTTTTTTCTTTTTCAATGAATGAAAAGATCCCTTAAGCAATAGTGTTTGAATTTCATAGTTTTGTTGTCATGTCCTGCTATGGCAACAGAAAATGATAGAAATTGACAACAAGGATATTGAGTGTAGTTGAGAGGCCTTGAAAAAGATTAATTGTGAATAATAAAGATTGCTAAAGGTTAATGAGTGAAAAATAACTGAAAAGACTAAACATTAAAGAACAATAGGCAAACTCTGTGATTGCTAATGTGGTGAAAACAATTTAAATTACCATTAAGATATTATTTACTTAGATAATAGTTATCCTATTTGGTTATCATGAATTTTACAAAAAATATAAATGTACCAATAGGCTATGTTCTAAGCTTGAATGTGAATGTTATAGATTTTAATAGTGAAGAAAATTATCTCTTACTGTGGTTTTGAAACATTTGAAGAATTCATGGTAATTGACATCACCAACTTGGGGCTTTGGATGGAACTTACAGTGTGCTGTTCTAGCCACTGAGCTAAGCATGCAGTAAGAAAGTGAGTTGATTAAGTAAGATAGTCATACTCTTAGGTCATATGGCTTGTATATAAATGAAATGCTTGAACTATTTGTTCAAGGTTTTAGTTATAAGATATTCATGATGTTTACGTGAAAAACATTTAAGACATTTTTAAGTTTATCAGCCCTTTATGGGATATTTAAAGCTGAAACATTTTGAAATTTTTTTTTTTTTGCAAGTGAATAGATTATTTCAGATACAAGTCCTACTATTTAATCCATATCTGAGGGGTATTGATTCATACCTTTCTCAATGGTATTTGCATGTAAGTGAATGTAACAAACCAGACTGGAATTTGAACACAGCTCTCCAATTTCTAATTCTTGGTTGCTATCTATTACAACACCTGAACATATGACTCATGTAAATGAAGAAGAGAGAGCACTAGTTGGATGTTTAAAAGTCAAGGAAGAAGGATTTGAGCATGAATTCTGGTTGAATGCTTATTTTTATTTGATATAAACATTCTATTATTAAATTTGTATCAGCATTTGCTAATATGTACTTAGCTACATGTTTTTATAATATATTGTGTCTTCCTTTAATTATGTTGTGTTTCTAAATATGAGAGGTCTCTTGATCAAGCATCATATAACACCCAGGTGTTGAAGTGTTATTAAATATAAAAAAATCCTAACCCAGACTTGTGCAAGCCATGGCTGTGAAGATTATATCCTCTCTTTTGGTAAGGAGTAAGTTTCACTTAGATAGATTTTTCCCCTGAAAATGTTACTTTGTAGAACAGACTCCTGAGAGAATGCTTTCCTGAGCACTACAATCTTAACTTCTTCAAGCTCAACCTTGGTATCCTGCATATCTTCATAATATGCACTTCCTGATCCCCCTCCTTTACAACAGTCACTCTCAGTAACCCTCTACTTTGAGTGGCTCTTGTATTAAATGAACAATAGTATAAAAACTATAACACACACACACATAAAGAGGGTGTTGAAACATTCTCAGTTTGATCTATTCCCTTCAAATGAATATTTCAATGACCAAACATCAGAATTATTTTAGACGGGTTCATTCAAAAAGTGATGCCAGATATGTTGAACTGCAGGGTAAATGTGGAAGAGCATTTATGTTACATGGCTCATCCATTTTGATCAGGTGAGTGATTTCAATCACATCCCTGTGTTTTTTTTTATGGTTTATCAACCTTTTGCAGGTTATTTAAAGCCAGAAAATATTTTTAAATTTGCTTTTTTTGAGATAATAATGAGTTAGTGATATATGTTTTACTTATTAACCCATAGCTTATAGGAGAAGAGGTGGATTCATGCCTTTCTCAAGGTTATTTGCTCATAAGTGAATATAAGAAACCAACTGGAATTGAAATTCATATAGTTGATGAAGTAGAAAGGATTTGTTCAATGCTTACATATTCATAATAATTAAGTATAAGTAATTAATGAAAACAAGCAAATCAAAATAAATTTCACTTTTTATTTCATATTTTTGAGAATACTGATGTTTCTGTAGCACCATAAAAAAAAATTCAGTTTTTTTTTTTTTTTTTTTGCTATGACATTTTGGACATTTTAGGAAGGAGGACAATCTTAGTAAAAATCCAGAAAGAAAACAACTTTAGACATCAGCAGCAAAGGATGCCACCATCAACTGGGTGATTGGAGCCTGTAGTTGACATGGATTTGTCACTGAGCAGAAACAAAATTGTATAGACAACATCTTCAACTTCTGAAATGAAAATATACAAAGAAATATAAGAAAACTCATTTTTCAAATGGACTTTTTTATAGTTTAAACTATAGATAACATTTTTTTAAATAACCATGAATAAACTAATGTTTTGAAACTAATGCTAAAATTAAATTAATTGCTAGATTCATTCAACATCAACACCAGTAACCAAAGTATGCCAGTCATAAAAATTATTTAATAGCTCAGTAATGTTTACATTAATTCCTGGCAACTGATAACCCTTTTCTTTCTAAGTTGCAATGCTTTTCTATACTAAAATCATTAGTAATGCATTTATACATATGCAGTGATAGAAACAAATAAATTACTAAATAACCTCCAACCCTTGTTACTAGACTATATAGTAGTCTGGAACCAAAACAATTAATGATAAAAGAAAAATCAAAAGTTAAGCATTAAAAATACTTTCAAATACAGATAAGAATGATAATTAACAATAAAGAAAGAAAAAAAATTAGATTATAAAAAAATAGTTAAATAATAGAATACTTCCATGATGCATAAGAACAAGCGTTTTACTGCCAATTGAAACAAAAATCAATTTTCTCTCCATTTTCTGAATGCTGAAGGAGGCAGACATCCTGATCAATTCTTTGATAAAACATGTTGCCACCAACAGATAAACAAAACTTCTTTATTTCTGTATACAAATGTTCTTTAAAATATACAATCATTTCTCCGAAATGTATACTAAAGCATTTTATCATTTTGTCTATGCTTATTTTGTTGTATCTTTATATATGATTTTGTTTTTAATTTTATAATCCCATTATGGGCTGATGATGCCCTTTACCCACTCCCCCCCCCCACAAAATACATATGTAAAAAAATTACATACAAAGCCAGCACATCACCAAAACCCATGATATATAATAGCTTTAATCTGTCAGTAAGGCCAGCATTGAATTCTGACAACCCTTTTCTTCTACATAACATTCAAAATGAATGCCAAAACTTTTAAGTCAAGATTGCAAAATTAAAATTATCAAATTTCACTTTTAAGCATTAATGTTACTGTGGTGAATTTCATTGATTCATTTACAGAACTGTGAATTACGGACATTTTGCTTCACCAAAAGTGGATTCTTCAGATGGAGCAAAACATAAGGTTTTGTATATCTGAAGTTATTTTGCATTAGTTTTCTATCAGAAATAAGCTTATGGCTATGTCACATTGTAATATCAGTTCTTGTCTGATCACCAGTTAAGCAATGTTGAACCAGGTTAATACCTATATGGGTGACCACTCAGTAATACCAGGTGCTGTAAGCTTGGATGTGCATGTGGTGTAATGGATAATGGTTCAGAGTGATAAATTGAAGAACCTACTTTGAATTCCAGTGTTCATTATATTTACTTATGTGGAAAAGCCTTGTGAAAGGCATGAATCTATCTCTTCTCCACCCAGCTATGGGTTAAATATTAGGACTTTTATAAAAAAAAAAAAAACATTATCTCCAAAAAGATGTTTTGGCTTTAAATAACCTTAAAAAGGTTGATAAACCTTAAGAAACAAATCACTCAATCTAAAAGTATTAAATGATTATATGTTTTTATGTTATTATGGCGAGGCTAGTGTACTGACGATGAGAGGAGCTGTGCCAATAACTTAGGTACTCATTGTTGGGATAAGAATAATCTTGGACGAAAAAAGTAGTGCACCCAACACCACAAATTGCTACCGAACCAAAAAACTTGAGCCTTGTGAGATTGAGACTTTCATATGGATGTCATGCATGGCACCAAACTCAATCAGAAACGTCTAAAGTATCAACAACTGATTTCTTAGGTGAATCATTAAAAATAGCTTTGAACAAATGAAACCTGCAACTCTGAGCAAGGACCATACTTCTTTCAACCTTGTGAGCTGGTACTACAAAGAACTGTACCAAATAACAGAAACCAGGTAACTTGAGGATTTTCAGCAACAACTAAAATGGATATCACATGTAACACAATGAAAATGTTGATATTCTACACTACTTCAAACAAAAGGTTAGGAAGGAAACCCACATCAATACTGCAAAGATCAATAACAGTGAGTTGGCCTGAGAAACTTATTTTCCTGAAAATTTGTGTTAAGAGAAAGATTTCATAAATTTCAACTGATGGTATCACTGGCTGCTCAGTTAATGAATGCCAAATGTTTCCTTAGAAGGAAACAGCTATGATATTGAGAGTGATAGCTAGCCCATATATGGCAAGGGAGAAAACAGTCTCAAACTTGACTAAAAGTAAATGGTCAAGTATAGCAGTTATTTCCTTTGAAAAGTTGAGGAAATTGATTAGTGCTATTAAAAAAGAGAAAAAAGCCTTAAAATAAATGAGTAAGCAGTAAATTGGCAGTATTCATTTATATCAAAATTATAAACCAATTGTTTTTTCTTTAAAACCTTATTTTTACTTGGCACTGATATACAGAAAACTTAAAACGATTACTTGATTACTTATTTTAGTGTATCATTTTACTTACAATTATTACCATGTGGTGCAAATAGTGCATTATTTAAACAAAGTAGGTGTAAATAATCAACAGTACCTTTTTATAGGCATCTGTCATTTATATTATTGTTAAGACTGCTACTTATGTAAATGAAAAAACAAAGTAATCATTCAAAGAAAAATTAATTGAAATAAGTACTGCATAATTTATTGCCATTGAACTTCAGCTATCTTAAAGAACTCAGGACAAAATTTGTAAAATAAATAAATGAAAAACAAAATAACTATTTGCTGGTTTTCACAAGAATATAAAACATTGTACAAGGGATATACTGTGCTAAAATGTTCTTGGTATAACCTGTTCTCTAAAATCTGAACCAAATAACCAAAATTTTTTAAGGCTTTCTTAGTTGAATGGAGAAATTTTCAGCACTCCAATCAAAGTTTATTGTAGGATATAAGCAAACTTGTTAAAGCCATGATACAGTTTCTTTTTGCCTTTAATTGCACCATTTCAGCTGTTATATTTTTCAAGAATGATTTTCCCAGATGCTAGTTTTACTAACTCATAGCTTGGGAGGAGATGAATTCATACCTTTTCTCAAGTGTATTTGCATGTAAGTGAATATAACAAACCCTGCTCAGCTCTGATTTCTCATTCTAAAACACAATCCATTATACCACCCACACATCCTAAACATGAGGAATGTGATCTAAAAGAATCAATGTATAATAGTAACACCTTGTCTCAGAACTGACAAAATTTTAAGATCATAGCCAGAAGAAAATGATGCTATTTTTTTGTTATAGCAGTACAAGAAAAGTAATCAAAGTTGTTAAAATAAAAATCCAGCATTTCAAGTTATATCAGTGAATTAATTTTATCTAATTATTGCAACATGAAGAATTTTAGAAGGCAATGATGTACCTTTAAGGCTTTTGAGCTGAATGATTAAGAACTTTATTTGACATAAACAAATAAAGAAATTATTTAATGAAAAAACAAGAAACTGCTTAGAAAAGCAAAAAATCTTTGCTGTAAACTTACCAGCAAATTTTCCAAGTGGCATTCGGTTAAGCAAAGGGGCTGCTTTGACTGGGTCACTCCAATCCTTTATTCCCATATCTGTCAACACCACAGTTGGATGGACATTGTTCACACGGATCTAAAATGGTAAAAATATTTTCCTAGCTTCTACTGCAATAACATTAAATAAGAGAAAGGAAATTTCAAGAGGAAAAAATAAAATTTTCAAAGTACTTCAATTAAATAAGAATTGTTCAGTGGAAAAGTTTCACTTTATTAATGATTATTAACTGAAAAGCTACTTTATTTCTAAAATAAGCAAATGTGAAAAAATAATTAAAAGAGGTAAAAAAATTCAAGGTTCAAATTATAAAGGGAATAAAATTTCTTGTCATTTTAAAATGTTGATAAAATTATTCACACTTTTGCAAGAACATATCTTCAGGGTTGCCACACTGCTTTCTGCTTATGCATGCTTATAATTGGTACTGTTGTGGTCATGTGACCAAGTTTTGAGCTTAATTGTGCCAGTTTTAATGTTGTTACAGTGTAGTTAAATTACAAAACAGGATCAATCTCATTTGCAAGAAAGAAAAATACTTTCTTTTTCTCTAGCCATACTGGCATTTGCAGAAATGAGAAAGCTTACATAGCAGCAAAGAAATCCTTAATTTCAAATTTGACAATCGCCTATACAGACTTCAAAGCAACTATAAACTCATATATTCTAAACAAGTAGCAAGAGTTATGGAAATACCATCCAAACAACAAACTTTGCAAAATTAAACCCATTCTAAGAGAATGGCATCATAATCTCAGATTTTCTTGAAAGGAAGAAGTCGTCTGATCAAGAATCAGAATAGGACATGTGACACTATTAAGAAGGTGCTGGTAAATTGGAAAAAAGGCTTTAAAAATAAACTGGAAAACAAGAAAAGAAATGCTGTTTTTCGATAGACTGAAAGTATACTGATAACAAGACAAGGAAAATGAAAGGAAAGAATATTTGTTTTCTTTTCTCTCCCCACCCTGGGGTTGAGATGCCAATGATGTAGAAGCCGTCTGTTTTTGGTATTAAGTGATGGTAATTTCTTAAATGTCCAATTGACCCCACACAGAAGAATAGATTATATTTTAATGACCTCAAGTGCTGACGAGGGAACAAAATAAAGCATCAGTAGGCCACTCATTGAATGAAGTGGGTAATGGGAAGGCCACCCATGAAGGCTAAAGGCAAGTTGCTAGCCAAAATTTGGTCAGTTGATAAGATTTGGATTTTAAGACAGACAGGTTTCCAAAGCAAAACAGGAATGAAATTGTAGTTATATTTCTTTTTCATCTGCCTAAGATGCAATAAAATTTATTAAAACAAAGGAATTGTCTTTTTTTTGTCAGTTGTTGACCAAAGAACTGACAAGGGGAAGTAACAGGTGGCAAATCCCAGATGCAACCGACCCCGACAAGGATACGATAAAAATTCCCTGCTAATGGAAATTTTGGATGATAATTGAATTCAACAATTTGGGTTAGACCATGCCTAGCCTCTGGGAACAGGTCTGATCAGGAGACAAAGAGAGAGGTAAAGGCCCAGGTAGAATTTCAAGGAAGGCAGAGGAAAGGCCTGAACCCTTCGTGCAGTGATGGTGAGAGGAACCCACATGAGATGGAAGGAATTGGGCAGATTGATATTCTGCCACTGTCACTCTTCAGGGGAGGGATCTCCTCAAATTTGATCAGGCAATCAATTTCCCAACCACCTCATGCCCTGCACCAGGTTTGCGCAAGAGCCCATAAATACAGATGAGGTCAGAGATGAGAAGAATGACCCAGACAGCTCGAGGTGCTGTTTGCAAGAGAGACGTGTTGCCAGTTGGTTCAAGACCTGCTTTGCCAAATTCTGTACAGCTTCTGCAGAAAGAACTTAGACTTGGGCCTTGTTCCAGAATACCAATTACAACTGAATAGTTGGCCTGAAGAAATCACAGAGTGGAAGAAATCAGACTTCAGCCTTGTACCAGTTTACCGAACATGGTTAAACATTAAGGGATAAGATGCTGAAAATCTGCATGTTGTTAATTTAGTGAGTAGAACATTCATTGTATGAACCTTTGATATAAATGTGTTGTGCTACACAGCTGTCTCTTACTTTGTTCCTTGTGACGTCATCTTGCCAAAGCTACCGGATCAGTGGCATTGTGTATACAACTCGACCTTCGCCTGCCCTGTGATCTAAAACAAACACAATGTGGGCAAGGTGGGATTGAGGATTGGGGCAACCAACTGGCTGGCCATAAGGATTGACAATGGACTTGCCCAGTGACTAAGGGCAGGATTGTGATGTCATAGACACACCTATATCACTCACTCATTTCTCTAAAAAATGAACAATCTCCTGAATGCACAGCATGTCAGGAGACATATACTGCAAAACATTCTAATCGATTGTAGTGATCTTGCCCCTATATGTCAACGATTTTATGAGATGACTAGTCTAGACAACATTTTCAAGAAGATAAAAGTACAGACTATTCTAGCCTACTTGAAGGAGGTTGGTCTATACCACAAATTATAACAGTAAATAACTCCGTTTTAGAAGCATAACTGAAGAGTGATGGAACCAACCACCTCAAGTATTATTTACAAGCCATATATTTAATTAAAAAATCTTTACATACTGAAAAGCCAAAGAAATATCAACACATAAACAAAAAGAAAACAAGGTTACAATGGGCTACTGAAAAGCAATCATCAAGTCTAGATGATTGGATTATTTAATGAGGAATCATGAATCTACATTGGCTAGATACAGGATGGCAGAACTTGCTTGATGCTGCTCCAATGCAAGATATAAACTTCCTGAAGAAAAAGGGCAAATTTACTCATTAATAATATGGGATTAGATCTAAGGTAAAGGACCAGAGGGTGAAGGCAAATCATTACTTTAAGAATCAATGCACATGTATACAATAAATTTTGGATAGTTTTCTCATTTTATCAATAGAAAATAGGTTTAGTAATGATGGAGATATTTTACAGCATGATAATGCATCATGCCACCACAGAGCAAAGAATGTTAAAGCTTTCTTTTCAGGGAAGGTATATTGAATTAATGACATGGATAACAAATCCAATCTGATTGAAAATTTATAGTAGAATTTTTACAAAAAGTCTATGACAAGGCTTAATCCAGCAAGGTTGATCTAACAATTACTATGTCGTATGTCCAGAAATTGCTGTCGCTTTCTGTCTGCAATCCGTCTAGTCTCGCCGAAGCCTAGAAAAGCAGTGGCCTCCCACGTCCACTCGCCGGGTTTTTAATCGGTAGCGTGGTTCTCTTTATGCAAATAAGTCTGCTGCATCAAAAAATGGCAGTAGGCGCGAAATTGCGACCGACTCTCAGAGAATGGTTTGACACGCGAGGCAACGAACCCGCTTTTGCTCCAGGTAAGTCACTGTCAGCCCTATTACACTGCCCCCTGATCGTATGATCACATAAGTGACAGTTAGGGGCTGGTCGTTTCACCCTTGCACTTCTTCGCGGTGGTATAACCATGACTTCCTCCCGGCTGAATCATCAGATGTGTCCTGGTCTGAATCATATTCCGGGGGATCATTAAGGTTCAAGTCTACTTCTTTCTCGCTTTCAGATGAGGTGTCGCTGCTGCTTGCACTGGAGCTTGGTTCTTGCCATTCATTACTCCCTGACGCTGTGTCACCGCCATCATCCGTTGGTAACAATGAAGTGAGTCGTGGACGTACATCTCCCACGTGTCGCGGTATCCCGTCGATGACTACCGACTGCGGACTGTTTATTCCCGTGACACGACCTTTCACAAACTTTGACATGCAGCATCTGTGCAGATTTTTTACCCAAACTGCGTCTCCTTCTTTATACCGAGTCAAAGTCACCCGGTTAGGCGAGGGCACAATGTCAATTCCTTTTATTCGAATTTTGTACGAATGCAGCAGATTGGCGGCACAGAAGAGGCAGACACATCATCCCTGGGTGTAATGTTATACCAATACACGGCCTCCATAATAGAGCAGCTCTTTCGCAAGAAAAGCAATCCGTTTGATTGTCGGATGACACCTTTCTACAATACCATTTCCAGATGGTTTTACGCCGCAGCGCGGGTCGAAATCGGATGCCCCATTCTTCCATGAATTGTTTGAATTGCTGACTGCGGAATGCAGTGTCATTATCAGCCAGGATTTCTACCGGGGCACCACGTTCAAAAACACCGACTCCAATTGCCGAATTACGGTGCAGCGTCTTGCCGAACTAGTGGTCGCCAGATCGAAACCGTGTGGGGCTGCGAATCGATCAGAGTCAAAAAATGGCGACCGTTATAGTGTGTAATGTTCATTCCCAGACAACTCCAAGCTTCACGCACACTGAGCTCTCCCTTCTGCCATTGCACAGAAGCTGGATCTAATGACTGACACTATTCGCAACTTTGAACGTCCGATCTTACTGCTGCTTTCGACATGGACGGATTGATCCTACGCGCGAAATATAGTGTCCGTTTAACTCCAGGGTGCCCGCTGTGTCGATGAATCTCAGTTAACTGAGCAAGGCTCGGGTTTCCTACAGCAGAAGCACATACTGGTTGAACAGGTTCGAATTCCTTCACATTGTTGAACCACCTCTGGGGAACTCTAGTCAGCAAGTCAGCTCGGTTCTGGTCGGATCTAACTAGCGCTATGTCAACGGAAAGTTTATACTCTTTCACAAGAGACGTTAGAGTTTCAAGTCGTCACCTTATGAGCATCTCGCTAGCGGCCTTGGTGTTCAGCCGAGACTTTCCCGTAAGGGCATTAGTCACCCAATGGTACATGCAGAGGGAGTCTGTGTTCACATGTAATACCGTAGCCTGCCATTTTAGCACGAGGTTGATTCCCTTCAGTACGGCATCCAGTTCAGCCACATTGATATGCTGGGTGTTTTTTATCGGCCGTAGCCAGCATGCGTCCTCGATGATGGCTCCTTTAGCCTCGGCGCCATCTCCGACAGCCAGCGAACTCGCGTCCACCCACACGTCTAGCTCCCCTTCAGATTCATGCACCATTCTCCCTGTGCAGGATCCAGTTGCTGAGCCCGGGCAAGGGTGTCCGTTATCATACGCTCCAGGGGAGCAT